TACAATTTTCTGTCGCTAAGAAAGAAAGCGGGAGAGAGAGAGAGAGAGAGAGAGAGAGAGAGAGAGAGAGAGAGAGAGAGAGGAGTAGAAGGAAGGAAGAGGAATTCTCGCATGTCGACGGTCACCTTCATACCTCATTGCCATCGTCGGACTGTGCTCATTACAGACGTCCTTCCTTCATGACGGCAGTAGCCTACGAGGAAGCCGCTCTCTCTTTCCCAACCTTGCCTCGATATACTATCGATTCATCCGACCATGGAGCTACCGAAGGATGTTCGCCCAGGATGGAAGAGCCGAGTGTGTTCGAGTGTGATTACTCCAAAAAAATACGTGCACAGGACAGAATACGGGCACGTGGAATAAAAATTTCTACGTGCATGAATATTTTACAGATACGATGAATATTTTCGCATATTCCTCGAGCATCCAAATGAATCAGCCATTATCGATACGTGTCGCAGAAGGAATGACTCTGCGAAAGTGAAAGAAAGCTTTCACGGTATCGTTTCTTCTTAACAGATAACAGATAGGATTCAGATTAACAGATAGGGAACAATTTCACAGCGAATAACTTATAAGTTTTTCGGAATTCAAATCTTGCGAAGAGAAAGCCTCGTGACGAAATTGTATTATATTCTACAGGGACCGGTGAATGAAAGAAACCTTGGAAGATATATGGAAATATCGTTTATGGTTCCCTCTTAAAAAGACTCGATGTTTCCTACTGACGGTTTCCCGAAAATTATGCAGTACATTTGCAAGTAAATAGAATTTCCGAAACTCTGAAAAATACATCTCGGAATACAGTTTTGTTTTGCAAAACAGAGAAAAGCAAGTTGGAGCTGTGGGATAAATTCAGCTAGGGACGAACTCCTCGAATGACGGGTTTCTCTTTGAAACTCAGCCGGGAGAAATGTCGCTTTCGAAATAGCGCTTTATTGCGTTGTTGTTTGTAAAAACGGCGACGGGACAATTCTCGTTCACGACAAATATAAAAATATAGTGCGACACATATGGAACAATTTACATTGCCGACGACGTATTAGAAACGTCCTCGACGAAAACGTACGTTTGACGTCAATTTTCTAAAAAAAGAAAAAAAAGGAAGAAGGAGAAACGAAAAAAGAAAGAAAAAGAGAAGAGAAAAGAGTGTAAGGACAGAAGGAAAGGAAAGAGGAAGAAGAATGAAACTGAAAAGATCGATTCAATCCGCGGCGCGCAAGTCGCGATCGTCATCAATTATCTTCAATCTTCCTAGAACCGTTTTATTAAATTGACTAACCGATAGAAATGGGCTAAAGAGCAACGCACGATGTGCGTCAGTTTTCAGCATTAATGCACGATTGTTTTATCGTGGCTTCTTTTTTGGGGAAGAAACACCGACTAATTCTCTGAACGAAATTCGCTTCGTTTAAAACGACCGCTCGAACAATCTAGGCGTACGCAAACTGCAAGGAAACTATTCGCGCATGTTTTCTCGCAAATTCCTCGCTTTTGACGTCATGATTCGCGAGAGTTGACACATACATCGAGGATCCTTAAATCATTGTATAATTTTAACTAAATAACGTATGTATGACACATACACACTCACTCACTCTCTCTCTCTCTCTCTTTCTTTTCAGCCTTTTAAAAAAATATCTGATATTTCTCAAGTACAATGAGATAATTACGCGACGATACTTAAGCTAGATTAGACACGAAGTCTACATGCGCGCAAATCGCACGCACATCGCGCGTTCCGCCTCCGTGATCGCTTTAATTTAAACGATTCATCGTTAAAACAGCGGAACGACTCTTCCGCACGATCGCATTGCATTCGGTCTGTAACAGAGAACACCTGCGAATTCGACGAGACAGAAGACAAAACACAATTCCTCGCGTTCCTTCCCGTTAAAACCACGTATCACGAAAACACGCCGTAAACATCACGCGGAAAAGAGATCTCGTCTGTTGATACCGGGGCGTTAATTGGATGCGCTCGAGTAATGCTATTTATTAACGCAAGTGTTTCCGCGTGATTTATGCGTATTCGGAGCTGTCTGCGAATACGGGAAAAACATTCGGTGATGCGAAAACTCCCACATGCATATATACAGCTATACACAACACCTGTGATAAATCGTTTCTCCAAAAATATATTTTATCATTAAATCTAATATTGACAATATTATCAATATAAAATCAATATAAAAAGTATCCCTCTCTATCGTTTCCATCTACCTTGCATTATCTGTCAGCAAATCCCGCGAATTCGAATCTATCAATGTTCCGAGTAGAACATATGATTTGAAACTGCGAGAGAGAGAGAGAGAGAGAGAGAGAGAGAGAGAGAGAGAGAAATATGTGTTATAGCGAATATGAACAATAGTTCACGTGATCTTTTGTCCCGAGCACGTTAATTATCATTCTCGAGGGACGATATAATGCACGCTCTATCTTCATTAATAAATAATGAATCGTGTCGATTATTATACACGCGCAATACGAACGATTTGCTTTGCGTGCGACAAAACCGCGCGATCTGCACCGACGTAAAGCATTACCGGTAAAAGTCTACTGACGTCAATTAAGCCAAACTAAAAAAGAAGGAAGAAAAAATCGTCGCTCAAACCGCGATTGAGGCGAATTAGCGTCTTTCCACGAGGCTACTCAGCGACCGACGAAAAAAATAGCAGAGTCGAGGAGGAGAGGGAACCGAATTATTATCCGCGCGCGCGTAACTCTGTCCTCGCTATCCGATCATCTCCTATGACCTCCTGACTACCTACGCAATTCGCTATTTAACCTTCGCGAGCTCAGCCTGTAATTCGTTACCTGGGTTACACGATAGATGTGTGTGTGTGTGTGTGTGTGGTGTGTGTGTGTGTGTGTGTGTGTGCGCGCATGTATGTTCTGCTCCAGCGCGTTCGATACTACCGGCAAACAAGTTACGCGTTTTGCGCGTTAAACTTAAAATAATTACGCATCCGCCCACTCCCTCCACCTCCTCCTTTCTCCTCCCGCCGACATAAATATTCATACACGGCGAACGATGAAATTGAACTGCCGGCAACTGCGTTCGCATTCTAATCGTACGAATATTCAATTTTCTTCGCGAAACGCGATCCTCGCGCGAAACCCAAGCGGTTGATCCGGCGTCGCTGTCGATTCTGCTCGAAAATCGAAACGAAACCTCCGGGCCCGAAGAAATCGGGTAAATCTCATGTAAAAGCAGTCTCATGTAAAAGCGGATCGGTGGTCGGCTCGCGCTCGTTCCCCTCTACTCGCTCGGCGAAATCGCGAAATTGCGAAAGCGCGAAAGGAAACTCGAAGATGATGCGGCAACGCGCATTGCGACATACACGCTCCGTTACACTCCGATGAGTGACACTTACATTCGCATTATTGCAACTTCTATTTCAGTCGGGTGAACCCGACCCACACAGTGCGACGGGCACGAGGATTATCATGCCGATCGAATCACGCTCGTTTCCCTCAGCCCTCACCCTGTCCGATAGGAACGGGTGGAATAATGAAACTCCCACGTAAATCACTATGTCGTTCCCTGCCTCTCAGTGCGTCATCAGTACGAATTCAACACACTCTCAATTTACGAGAAATCTCGTCGGGTGACGTACACGTCATGACGTGTCTGTGACGTGTATGGAGTATATATCGCGATATATACTCCGAGGATGTATCGATATCTTCGACTTCGTTCTTAACTCCGTCGCACGACTCGAAACACATCCTCCGTCGTGTCTCCAAGATTTCGCTCCGAGTGGATACAGCCAGGAGACAGTCGGACGTGCGCCTCTCACCTCGTCAAACGGACAAACCGCATTGCATAATCACATCTGTGAGGATCTGCCTACCGTATTAACTTGCCTCGGTCTTAATCGTAACGACTCTTCGCTTAATTTGAGATCAATTTACCATTGAGCTAACGCTAAGTCCCGGAGAGCTAAGTGGGCACGATCGTGAATGAATCGGCTGCTCGCATCCGCAGCAGAAAATCGACGAGCTGCAATTACGTCCGCGCGCGATCCGTCTTACATTATATTCTATATTAGTCATCTGTCTAAAATGTAAAAGCGAAGTGCCGCTTACACGGGGTGTTGCCGAATCCCGTCTTGAAACGGCAGTACTTTCAGCTCGTTCGATTCAGCTGTCGATACATTGAGTAGCAGCGGTCATCGTCGATCACGTGTGAATCACTTAAGAGACGAGATAAATAAGAGAAGAGGAATCACGCTCGCGCGCGAGAGCAGAACCTCGGCGGGGCAAGGCGAGGCGAGGCGTGGCGAGGCGAGGCGAGACGCGGAGGGAACGTCGCGCCGACGTTTACGACCGCGCGAGCATATAATCTCGTCATTTCTGTTCCAAGACAATCAGCCGCGCATTCGACGTCAAACGCCTCGATAAGCGAGTCTTAACGCGCGTATTATGTAACACGTTTTATGCATAGCGTATCCCGAAAGGGCACGGTGACTCAAAGGGCGGCTGGGACGGAGGGAGCGGTGGTCACTCCACGACGTCACTCCACGTCCCGTCGCTCCCGAAGCGTAACTATTCCGGAGCACTCCTCCAGAATTCATTTTCGAGCGCGCGGACAAGTAGGTGGTCGCGCGAGAGCGCGCTATTTGCCGTGCAATTACATCGAGAAACAATTAACGACGAGACGGACGCCGGGCACGTACGTACGTGCGTGACGTCAATCGTCGAAGATAACGGGCGTGCGCGCGAGCGCGGGCGCGAGCGATAGTAATCGGTAGTGGTGTGGGCGGTGGGTGCACGACGACGTCGGTTACGTAGAAGAGGAGGTGGCGGCGGCGGCGGCGGCGGCGGCGGCCGAAGCAGGGAGAGAGCGAGCCGGGGGCGGGGAGAGGCCGGGGGGCAGAAGAGAAGCGAAGTATACAGGGGCAGAAGAAGGGCGGCGGAGGGAGGCGGGGAAGAAAGAGAAGAGAGAGGAAGCTCTCGCGCGCGCGAAGAGAGGGGTGGTTCGCCAAGAATGGCCGGGGCGACGGCGTACGAGGGGGCGAGGGCCGAGGGCGCCGACACCGCCGCCGGTCGAGCCAAAGCAGGGGGGTGGCAATATGGCCGGCGGTCAGTCGGTATCGAACCGCCGTGCCGAGCGGAGCTTCTACGCTGAGTCATGCGCGCGTAGGCACGGCACCGTAGTGGACGAGACGAGGGCTTTGGATACCCGGCAGACGCGCGCGCCGCGACGTCTGCACTGACCGATGGCTCCCCGGCCTATACGCGAAGTCTTGGAGTTTTTCGCCGGCATTGTCGTCATCGTCCTCATCGGCGCCATCATCACCGCTGTCATCGCCGCCGCCGTCCTCAGGCCGGTCGAATCCGAAGGACGCGCTCGTCGAGTCGGTCGCGAGGATCGCTCGAGGACCCGAATTTCGAGCAGTAGTGGTAAGTGCCAACCGCCGAGGCCATAAGCTCTCTCAGCTTCAGCTTCTCCGGGATATCCCTTGGAGGGACTCGTTGCTATCGCTGTTTATCCTAAGGACGCGCACGCGACAGTTCTTCGGCGAGCTCGTCGGAGCACGGGGCCCGCTATCGAGGAGTATCGACGGCGATCGATCGCGGTCTCTCTCTCTCTCTCTCTCTCTCTCTCGCTCTCTCTCTCTCTCTCTCTTTCTCTCTCTCTCTCCCTCTCTCTCTCTCTCTCTCTCTCTCTCTCTCTCTCTCGATAGGTAGGAGGTCGTTGTCGATCCGTGACGTCAAGCGAGGATTCCTATTGTACTTGTTGCGGTAGGGCCTTTGTACTCTGGAGACGGTAGATCCTTGACGCACGCTCTCCTTGAAACATCGCGCCTGGTCCTTCCTCCTCCTTTCTCCTGCGCGCTCTCCCGCCGCCTCTCTCTCTCTCTCTCTCTCTCTCTCTCTCTCTCTCTCTCTCTCTGCCCGCCGCCCTGTGTCTCCTTTAGCGATAAACGGTGCAACGTCCTTCCGGGATATCGTTGCACCGCTCGCTCGTTCTCTCCTCCGCCCTCCTTCTCCTTCTGTCTCTTTCTCATCAGCCTTCGACTTGGATCCAATGACGAGCGGTGTCGCGAGAATGCGTGATAAGTAATTACGTATCACGAATTAGACGTTCGCCGATATCGCACGAGATACTTATTCAAGACGCTCGCAGTAGCAAGCTAAGAATATTTATATGTATACATAAAAAAGACATGCACGCAGCTATGAAAGTATAGTAGCCACGGTTCGTAACATCGCGCACTACAGACAGACCTCTCGAAGTAAGTCCTCATGAATTTTCATCGACGCTCGCGCGTGCGTAATCGCTTGCATGGACACGAATATGTTAAAAAAAGCCGTTTATATAGCACATTAAGGGCGGTCCGCGTCAAAGAGTTATGAGCTATTTCTTCGAGAACTATCAAGGATGGCGGAATTCTCTCTTCGTGTCTTCACACGATCTGTACAAATCTTCACGCGATACATTTATCAGATCTCTCCATGAGGATAATTTCTCCCGTTTCATTTGCCTGTTCTTCAGTCGAATGACATGTAGGTTTTTCCAGTCTGTGGTAGTTTTTTAACTGTTTGTGTGCCAGGAGAGATCACATGATGCATGACTAACAGTGGCCGCGTTCAGCAGAACAAAATGATCAGTGAGCGCTTAGTGATTATTGTCTGTGACTGGAGCATTCTTTTAGATTCTTCATAGACCCAGAAGTATTTGCCAATCAGGAGCGAGAATCATTAAGCGCTCACTGATCATTTTGTTCTTCTGAATGCAGCCATTGTCACCCAGTGTGATATAAGTTCGAGACTGACACGACAACAACTGTTCTCGAGCACCAAAGAATACAAAATCGTGAGACAAGAAAAAAGAGTGCGGTAGCGATGTCAGAGATCTTGCTTCTGTGAGAAGCAAGAAAAGCGCGATAGCGTTCTTCAGCATTTTCCGCACGTTAAAACGGAAAACATGGCACTCAAATGATTAAAATAGCTCCCATCCAAAAGACGCTTCCGCATCCGCGACGGGAAGCTAAAAGATTCCTAATGGCGCTTGCTCCAATGCTTACAGATTAAAAAAGGAGCAATCTCAGAAGAGAAGAACAGGGAATAGACAAAAATTCACAATTCAACGGTGAGATTCGCGTAAACATGGATGCTGGGGCTGGGCAGGGTAAGAAGCAAATCCGTGTGGGATTTTACGACATCGAGACCACCATCGGCAAGGGCAACTTCGCCGTTGTTAAGTTGGCCAGACATCGAATCACGAAGACCGAGGTAGTGCGCCATTCTCCCGCTAATAATATCTGCGTAACAACGACGATGTGTTCGGAAAATAAATATTATTGGATTGACGTGTGCCTTTTTTCAGGTGGCCATCAAGATAATCGACAAGACTCAGTTGGATCCTACCAATCTGGAGAAAGTTTACAGAGAGGTCGAGATTATGAAGCAGCTGGAACATCCTCATATCGTCAAGTTATATCAAGTGATGGAAACGAAGAACATGATCTACATGGTAGGGGAACAATAACGATGACACATGTCGTTACGACTAAATTTTCCGAACGTATCACGTCTCGCTGTTTCAGGTATGCGAATACGCCAGCAAAGGTGAGATATTCGACTACATAGCTCGCTATGGAAGAATGGGAGAGCCCAGAGCACGCGCGACTTTCGCGCAGATATTATCCGCGGTCGAATACTGCCATGTGACGGGTGTGGCGCATCGCGATCTAAAAGCGGAGAATTTGCTCCTGGACGCGCAGATGAACGTGAAAATCGCCGACTTCGGCTTCAGCAACAGATTCGCCCCGGGCGAGCGACTGAGCACATGGTGCGGCAGTCCACCCTACGCCGCCCCAGAGGTTTTCCGCGGGAAGCATTACGCTGGGCCGGAAATTGATGTGTGGGTAAGTCTACTTCTGTTTGCTTCTGCAAGGGAAAAGAGCCGATGTTCATTTCTTCGAGGTTCTCAGTTGTTCTGACTCGATAAGTTCTCTAAGACCTCTCTGACCGAAAACCAAGGAAATGCAAGGGAATTGATCCTTCTTCTTCCAAAGTACAAGAACATTTGCTTATTTCATTATCGTTTTTTCCTGCTCTCTTCTTGCAGAGTCTGGGTGTTGTATTATACGTGCTGGTATGCGGAGCACTGCCCTTCGATGGATCAACTCTTCAGTCATTAAGAGATCGCGTATTAAGCGGCAGATTTAGAATTCCTTACTTTATGAGCACAGGTATATATTTCGGAGAGAGCGTATAACTTGCGTGTCTGTGTAATATCGACGTCGCGCTCACATATCGAAATTTATTTCCATTGCAGACTGCGAAAGCCTAATACGCAAGATGCTAGTGTTGGAGCCTTCCAAACGATACACCATTCCACAAATTAAGCGGCACCGTTGGATGGCAGGAACGGCAGATAGTATATGTTCGGTGATCGTAACGAGGCCATCGTCATCTATTCAAGAGCCGAACGAGCAAATACTTCGACTCATGCATAGTTTAGGAATAGACATCACTCGCACTAGGGAGGTGAGCATACATTTTCCTCATTGTTATTTTTATTGTGTGTGTGAAATTTAAAGTATACGGTTATCTATATATCTCATCTATCAGACGGAATAATGTCGAAGAGAGTCGTTATATTCAACTACACGCACGATTCTGAAAAAAAAATAATCATCAAATTATCTAGTGAATTATATTTTTAAGATGCACATATACACAATTTTCGAATACATTTACATACAGCAGCGTATAAGTATAATTGTTACCTTTTAACAGTCCTTACGAAACAGCAGCTACGACCATCACGCAGCTATTTATTTCTTACTGTTGGAGAGATTGAAGCAACATCGTGTCACCAGCACCATTAATAATACCTGCTGGTCCACTGTTGCAAGAACGAAAGAAGACAAATTTAAATCAAGGTAGATTGTACATTCACGTTATTAAATATCATCAAATAAGCACCTTCTTTTAAGAACTCTATTGCAAGTGCCGAGATGTCATGTTAATTGTAACTTCCAATCCTACCAGTTCGGTGAAATATCACAAAAATCATAACTTAATTTGCTAATTTTTATTTACAGCGATAGCTTAGTGGGACGTTGAACTTTATTGAGTGGCGCAGATATCGGAGATTTTGTCAGGACAGGTTGGATTGGAAGCACATTGCTGTCGCTTTATTTTTGGTAACTCCTCATTTCATTTTCTTATGTCTTTCTTTCTTTCTTTCTTTCTTTGTCCCATAAACCTCCATTTCCAATGATAATTGATTTCAGTTGCTTTAGTTTGTCTATTGTTTATTGAGGCACACTATTATTTGAACCATTGGTATTCCTTAAAAAACTTATACTGCTGTTAATTTCATATTAATTTCATATACTCTCTGCTATTAATTTCACTTCTTGTGTTAATTATAAAGTGTGGTTCGGCTAAATCTGATCCCTTGCAAATATGTTTCGTATTTTTGCGTTTCTTTTGCTATTTCTATGTTTCTTTACTGCTTGTAACAATTGAAGCAAACAGCACAGCGAAACGAACTTTACATGGCGCAGTAAGACTAGAAGCGAGAATTCATATCATTTTCCTGTAATGATATTCTCTATGATTTGATATGATACATCATTCTCATCATGCTAGACTAATGCTAACAGTTGAAACAATGAAGAGAATGCTTGACGAGTACTTGCCGATCGATTGCTACACGGAGCATCTGTTCATCGTCATCGCGAGAAATCTTTCGCGACAAAATAAACGAATACTTTCTTTCGAATGTCAACAAGATGGATCATTTTCTCGTTTCAGAGCGAGAGAAGATACCGGCAGAGGGGGTAAGAGATTCAGCTCAACAAGCTCTTCAACCGATGAAGGTTGTTGCAGTGCGGAGGGCGATTTGGAGGAGGGGCCGAGCGGCGACGAATTACGAGAGGCGCAAATCAAACTCGAGGAACACCGATTAGGCCTAGATCATGATATCAGTCAACGAATTGACAGTCAGATAGTCAATCGAAGATTGAGCGATTATCAGCATCATTTTGATAACCCGCTTATGGATCCTATTGATCCTCCTAGTCGAACAACGCTGTTCATGGCAGGCGGCAGCGGTAGCTCGTCCTCGGAGCTCTTCGAATCCAGCTTCGATTCTGGCTGTCCGCCAGATTATACGGGCGCGAATTGCTTCACGAGCAGCCTACCGTCTTGCACGCCACCGCCACCTAAGAGTCCATCCCCCATCACTGGTAGGATATCTCGAGTATCTCAAGGACGAAGAGCATCCGACGGTGGACCCAGATTACTGTTCTGTCAGCAAGGCAGCGGAGACAGGCCATCCAAGCAGAGGAGTATTCAAGGTATGCGACGCTTTTTTCGAACATGTCTCTTCTTTCGAACATTTTGATGAGGTTCTTCTACATAGTATTTACAATGGCATAATAATCGATTACCTAACAGATTCGGGGAAGGCACGAGGTCACCTGGATCTAGTCCATCTTAGACCACCGTCCACGCCGCCCGACAATCAGCAGCAATTCAAAATGCGCGGCGACTCGGGCACGCAGCTGCAACTCTTGGTGCAGCAACGTATGCTGCAGCAAAAACGCAACCTCTATCATCGGCACCGAGGCGGCGGCAGTCCAACACCGATCCCGGTGTCTACCAGCGGCACCAGCAGACGCGCCGACCACGTACCGAGGCAAGACAGCTACAAGTTAGCCCAGCGAACGCAGATCTTGCCGCCTCTATCTCAGGGCCATGTCGACCGAGACTTCGACAGAGACAGAAAGCGAGACGAGGAGAGGTGGAAGAGTCTACCTTCCCGATTAGCGGCGGACTGCCAGTTAGCGGAGAGATCGCTAATATGGAGCCAGCAGGTAAATTCATAGAGAAGTTACGGTGTAAAAATCACACACAGTATAGACACCGGGCAAACGTATCAAAGCGACTTGTACAGCCGATTCCTCGAGTGCTTCTTACACAATTGGACTGTGATCTCGAAATCTCTATTTTTTGGCGGAAGTCAATTGATCGACATGTATAAAACAACACTGGAAAACCCTTGTACATAGTACACTCGACGCAGATGATGAAGTCTCGTCGAGAATATCTTGACGTTATTGTAAATGCCTTGCACATTTACAATAGTGAGCTGATGTACATAATGTTATTTAGTACAGTTACTTAGTTAACTTAAAAAAAAAAGATGAAAAAAGTACATACCTGCGATTTATTAGCACAATTATTTATGTTAAATTGCAAATAAATGATTATTTTTCTTTAATTTGGCGGTTATTTTTTGCTCTAATTTGCCTTTACTTGCATGAACCGATCCTTGATAGATAATAGCAACCCTCTCATTAATAACTCTCTATCTATCTCTCTCTCTCTCTCTCTCTCTCTCTCTCTCTCTCTCTCTCTCTTTCTCTCACAAATTTACACATGTTTGATGCAGAAAGGAGATACCTAATCAGAAGAATTCTAGTTATGTAGAAGCAATACATTATTGCATAGCCATTAAATGAAAACCTCAGAGCGCGAGAAAAATGAAAGTTTCGAAAGTACTGCGTTTTTTTTTTACGAGAAGCATTTTTAAGAAATTAGAGCGCCTACACTATGCTTTCTTATCATTTCGTTTAGCACATTTTGCCCATGTGTGTGCATATAAATACAATGGTGCACAAAAAAATTGAATCACACATGACAGAGATTAAGTAATTGATACAATGTAAAATGTTAGGTGGGCCTTAGTGGAGGCGCTTCTTACTTACCACCGGGCAGTGTAGGTGGTTTCTTGTGGCCCACCAGCAGCAATCCACATTCAACCATCTTCGAGAATGTAGGGGATCCCATGGAATAAACTTCTGCCCTATATTATTAATTATCTCGAGATCTTGCGTATGAAAAGCCAGGCTAAGTTATTATGTCGATTCTCAACCCGTCTCTCTCTCTCTCTCTCTCTCTCTTTCTTTTTTCTCTCTTTCTGTTTCTCTTCCTCAGCAGTATTCCCTACTCAGTCTTTCCACGTTGACGTTGACTTTTATTATTCAAATGGTTGCATATCATTTTCTCTTAAATAGAGATATTTTAAAAGACTGTCACATACGGAAAATTTAGTACAACATATTCACTCGTCTATAATAATTATGTACTTTACATACTCAAGATCTCTGATTAGATGTATGGTACATGTTACTGAATGCCAAAGATTTACATTTTTGTACTTTTGTCCATTTGAGACACTGCTAATGAAGAATTCAGCGTTTAAATTTAATGAAAAACTGTAGACAACGTCTTGTTGCAAGTCGTTTGCTAAAATGCTGCTTCATAAAGTTATAATACTACTTATCGTTACAGCGTGTTCTAAGTCCGTGTGAAAAATTACACATGAATATATCTGTATGTTGAGAGAAAGGTAGTACATTTCATTGATTTGCAGCAATGCAAGTGATACAAAAGATTTCATGCAAAGGAATCTTTGTCGTACAGTAACAAATGTACCTGCCTTATTAAAATGACTGATTCTACCAGTCAAATATCCAGTTATATCATAGACTGATAATTAATAAAACGAAACACCAAATTTGGTTAAAAAGCAAGTGGCATATGACTTGCCTTGAGGCATACGTTATTGAGAATTACGGCGGGAGAACTGTGAAGTTTTTGAATGAACCCTTGAAGAGGAAAACAGAAAATATTAGGAATATATTACGTACTGCCAATGAGTGAAGAAAAAACGAGTGCTCAAGTCATTGATGAGATATAAATACGTAGAGTAAGGCATAGACATGGGGAAATATCAAGAAGATAGGCAAAGAATAAAAGAGCGCGACTGAGATAGAATTAAAATTCTCCCCGTAAGAAAATACAAGTACTATGCCACTCCCGCTTTTCCATTTATTTAATTCGAAGAGTGGAAATATAACGCAAGTTTTTCGAAGGATTTTCAGTTTACTTAATAAGCGTTCCAATAATATTGTACAAAATTAGTGATGTTCTCCTCTTCCACTCTTCATAATGGTGACTATAGAGGATAGGAAATAATAACAGAAAAAAACAATAATATTAGCAGTAAATAGTAGCTAATATGTAAGAGACGAGAAGTGCTGCATTCTGTAAAAAATGTTTAAATAAATTATTTATGTGATCACACGAATTTTCTATAGAAGAGTATAAGTTGAGCAACATTTTGTATATGTTATCTCTTTCTAGAAATATTTATAGCCACATTAATAGTTGTACTACTTTTATACAAGCGTTTTGAATATTCGCTGATATCTAAATATGATTTTTTTTTAAACGGAATGTTCTTCTATTTCGATGGCTCTGTTTTATGAGCTTCTTGCATGATTATAATTATTAGGAAACGTTAAAAAAGAAAAACAATAATTATTACAAAACTATTTGTACGTTTGATATGAATACAGCACTTTAAAAATGAAAAAAACAACAATATACATATACATATATATATATATATATATTATTAGAACCTAGTAATTTAGCCAGTATATAGTAAGCAATACCGGCCGCGCACAACTGACAACGACTTTACTATTCAAATTTTTCGCCATTTTTTACTCGACAGGAAACAATCAAACTTCGCTCAAAAATCTTTTGATAAGTAAAACATAACTGTTAAGTTAGCCTAATCGCAAACGAGATTTAGCATCCGCAAAATGGACATCATGACGCAGGATATCCATGAATCTCAGGAATTGAAAATCAATTTTGGCATTATTACGCGTTATCTCATATCCGTCTTTTCTGGACTGATAGAGCTTCGAATTGCATAAAATAGAGATCCATTACAACATTGTTTGATAAATTATTAATTTCACACGCCCATTACGCATATTCTTGTGAGAAATTTTGCGACGATTACATGTGATACATAGCTATTATTTCATGAAACAATCTGTTTAAAAGCTACAACCATTTCTGTGGAAGTAATTATTTGCTATCAAGCAATGACTGCCACATGCGGACAATTCATCGTAGAAAAAACTAACCGGACTGAGATGGTCACTTATATGTGCATACTACTAATTCCGTTAGCTCATGCTCTTAGCAAAGTGCGCATATAATATCACTTCAACAGTCATATACGATAATAAGTAGTTACTTTTTGTAAATTGCAAAAAATTGTCGACATATGTATACATGCGGATTCTGAATAAAACATATGCAGATTGAAAAATTAAATTAATGTGTTTACATTTATTTACTTCAATGTTATACACTTACACAAAAGAACTTATTTTTATATTAGAATTATAAATATCAAAGCATATATAACTTACAACATTATTAATTGTTATAAGTATTAAAAATGTTCTCAGTAAACATATCACAGCCAGTTTTCTCAGCATTCTCTTTTGCTCGTTGCGGAGTGAGTTGTTCATATTCGCTCGGATTTAATGGCTCTCCATTCTCATCCAACTGACCATTTGCAAAATCTTCTTCTACTTTTTTAGAATACACCATGTTAAATAAATCTTGAGCAGTAAATTCACCCTGGTCGAAGTGTTCCACTTGATACGACACATATGGCTTCAATTTGAATCCTTCAAGTGAAGGAACAATTAATTCAGGAATCATTTCTGGTACGGTAACAAATCTTCCATTTATTTTGAGTCCAACATCTTTTACACCTCTTTCTGTAATCATAATAAATAATACATATTAAAGATAATTAGAAAACATTTAATTTATAACATGTTTCGTACTAAATTCTTCTAAATATTGACTGTCAAGACAGTCAATAACAATTTTTAACTTCTATATAAAAACAAGTTTTTTTCTGAACATTTTGTAATCTCTTTCTTCTTATATTAATATTATAAATATATTATAAATAAAGACAAAGAATATATGTTACCGTTTTAGAGACATATAGAAAAATAGCTCTAACATTATCGAAAGACTTTACTGAAATCAATATTTTTACAAAATCTTTATATTATCAACAGAACTTAATATGAAACACATATATAAAACCCCATAATTATTTACAATACAATATAACAATTAAATATTATGTTTATATACATATATATACACACAGATATGTAAACTTAGCTTAAAAACAATAACTTACTGTCTATTGGAATATCAGATGTCTTTTCTGTCTGTGACTTTTTAAACTGGCGACTACCTCGTTTGTTATACAACAAGAATTTTCGGAAATTTCGTTTCCCATGACAGACACACGAAGTCGCGATACTACGTCGTAAAATCATACAAGCAGACGCCATGTCGATCTCTATTATTCAAGGAACACATTGATAATTATAAATATACTACATTGTAAAATAATATTCAAGATATAATGCAATAAAGTTATCAATACCATTCCAAACTGTATTAAACATAACTTATTCCAACAAATAAAAATTACTGCACACATACCTGAAATACGTAACGAATATGACATGTACAGACTTACGTCTGTGCAAAGTTAGTACACAACGTATAGCTCAGAATTATACCGACTTTCAGGTAATACCAGTGAGTAACCTGAGAGCGGCCAATACGACATTTTCTGCGACACCGACTTTCCGCACTGGGAAAGGACGCCATCTGCATCCATTTTGAGAGGGAAACTACGATAGTACATCCACTTTCAGGTCTTGGTGGTAAAATCTGTGGTGGAAGTCCGTGCTAAATCCACTATCAGGCGGTTTATGTCCGTGCTGCAATGACAGTTGCCATCTCTATGCCAGACTATGCCCGGTGGTCTAAAAAAAGCGGGGGAGAGGGGGGGAGGAGCAGAAAAAATAAAAGTACGTATTAAATGTTAAATCTTCGAATATATATTGCCATATCAAAGTCTCTTCTATAATAAACAATTTGACATGTATGGAGACGCATGATGTATCGTTGTCCGCGTCCCGTTCACTTCGTCTTGTTTTTTAATTCAGCATCCCGTCCGCTCCGGACATTCGCTCGTGGCACTGACAGTGGCCATCAGTGAGCATTCGATCCGCTCGGAGGAGCACGTGTTATTCACGTAATTAATGTGACGAGACTCCGATTATAAATATTAACAATACTGTTGCTGCAATTTAACTTTAAACAACAGCGGCCTCAGATCGCAAGAAACTTTTTATCGCAGACTAACCTTTCGAACGGAATGTTCCCGAGAAGCGCTCTTGAGATAATGGAAATTATAAGCGAACCTCATCGATAGCAGATTTAACCTTCGATATCTCCTAAAGGTCTCAAGATACAGAAACGCTCTTTTGCAATATAGTTCTATATCAACCCTACTTTGACCATTAAGCTCGACTTTCAATTCACAGTAGAAACGGAGATATTAACATCACAAGTTAAACATTTTAACTTACTATATCTCCTAAACGGTTCAAGATACAGGAACGCGCTCTTGCCACAATGTAATCCTATATCAACCCTAATCTTACCATAAATTTCCACTCTCAATTCCCAGTACAAGCGGAGATATCAAAAAGTTGGAAAACTTTAACCTTCCATATCTCCTAAACGGCTGGAGTTACAGGCTTGTTTCGTTCAACAAAATGTAGTCCTCTAAAAACACTACATTTCACCATTAATTACGACTGTCAACTCCCAGTAGAAGCGGAGATATCAACGAAAAAGTTGGAAAACATTAACTTTCGATATCTCCTAAACGACTAGAGATACAGGCCTGTTTCTTGCACCACAAAGTAGTGCTCTAAAAACCATACATTTCGCCAATAATTAAGATTCTCAACTCCAAGTAGATGCGGAGATATCAACAGAAAAAGTTGGAAAAATTTAACCTTCCATATATCCTAAACGGCTAGAGATACAGGCCTGTTTCTTGCAACAAAATATAGTCCTCTCAAAACCTTACATTTTCCTGTAAATGACGACTCTCAACTCCTAGTAAAAGCGGAGATATCAACGGAGAAAGGTTGGAAAATTTTAACCATCGATATCTCCTAAACGGCTAGAGATACAGGCCTGTTTCTTGCACCAAAATATAGTCCTCTCAAAACCCTACATTTTCCCGTAAATGACGACTCTCTACTCCCAGTAGAAGCGGAGACATCAACGGAGAAAGGTTGGAAAATTTTAACCTTCGATATCTCCTAAACGGTTAGAGATACAGGCCTGGTTCTGGCACCAAAATAAAGTCCTCTCAAAACCCTACATTTTCTACTACATGGACGACTCTCTACTCCCAATAGAAGCGGAGATATCAACGGAGAAAGGTTGGAAAACTTTAATCTTCGATATCTCCTAAACGGTTAGAGATACAGGCCTGGTTCTGACACCAAAATAAAGTCCTCTCAAAACCCTACATTTTCTACTACATGGACGACTCTCTACTCCCAGTAGAAGCGGAGATATCTACGGAGGAAGGCTGGATATCGACGGAGAATGGCTGGGAAACTTTAACCTTCGATATCTCCTAAACGGTTAGAGATACAGGCCTGGCTCTGGTACCAAATTAAAGTCCTTTCAAAACCCTACATTTTGCCGTAAATGGCGACTCTCTACTCCCAGTAGAAGCGGAGATATCAACGGAGAAAGGTTGGAAAAATTTAATCTTCGATATCTCCTAAACGGTTAGAGATACAGGCCTGGCTCTGGTACCAAATTAAAGTCTTTTCAAAACCCTACATTTTCTACTACATGGACGACTCTCTACTCTCAGTAGAAGCGGAGATATCAACGGAGAAATGTTGGATAACTTTAATCTTCGATATCTTCTTAACGGCTAGAGATACAGGCCTGTTTCTGGCATCAAAATAAAGTCCTATTAGTACATTTTTATTTAGACAATAAATGTTCCTCGAGGGGCATGCCCCCCTGAGTAAATACAAAATTATTTCAAGCATAGGCCAAGTACATTAGTTAAATACTTTATTGTCGGTGGACTATTTGCCCCCCGCCCGACCGTGGGCACCAATACGCATATTCTTCTATATATATATGTATATTCCTAATAGAAATATTGCCCAGGCTAACAGGCCTGGGCAATCAGCTTCATCGACAATACACTTTTGTATTTTTCTTATAATTAATGTATTTTATATTTTCCAGCGCACCTACTTGGTGACCTCCGGGTCATTCGCGCCAATGCGACAGCCTCTAACCTACCAACTAATCTATTAAATATCGCGACATACATACTCGGATAAGCCCTAGGCTTCGCACACGACACTCACACCGACGGCTCATCGAGCTGGAAGAGGGACCTGATAATGCATCTACCATGGTAAGAGTGTATGTAAAGGGCACACCTTCCATTTACATAAATTAAAATTAAAAAATAAATAATAACACAATAAATAAGCTCGTTTTCTCTACTTTACTTTTGAGCCTAGTTTGCATCCACCGTCATAAAATATTTCAGCCTAGGGGACGGGGACGGGAGGCGTCCGTCCCCCCCCCCCGTGGCAGTCCACACTCCAGATAGTACGACACAAAAATAAATAAATAATTATTTTAATAATAAATTCTTATTTTTTTTGTGCATGTTAACATGTTAATTCATGTTACAAATGCATAACAATGCTCGAGACCGTGCTTGTCAAGTACGCTATTATGGTTGTAGCACGGACATAAACCGCTTGAAAGTGGATGTAGCACGGACAGCCATCAGATGTAGGTTTTACCGTCGAGACCTAAAAGTGGATGTAGCATCGTAGTTCCCCTTTCAAAATGGATGCAGATAGCGCCCGTTCCCAATGTGAAAAATCGGTGTCGCCGAAAACGCCGTGTTGGCCGTGTTGGCCGCTCTCAGCTTCCTCTCTGGTAATACTAAAGACTGTTAATTTCTGGACACTTTAATGAGAAAGGTATGTTTCTCTCTGTAACCTCCTCCGAATACAGTCTATCATAGTTCATAGTTCAATAGATGGCTCCAAGCAGAACAGTTCTTCTCCAAAGCCAGTCATAAAATCCCATAGACATAGGCCGGTATTCATAGTCGGGTCTTATTTGATCTGTTCTTTGTAGCTGCACCGTTGAACTGGTGCCATAAGTTAAAGTGAGACAAATATAGGTTTTTTCATTCTAGCTTATTGCACCAGTTCAGCAGTGCAGCTACAAAGAACAGACCAATATTTAAGACCGTCTCATATTCATCTTCAGATGCTGTACAAATTATTTCATTGGCTACGAAGTATCTGAAGATGAACTTAAGACGATCTTAAATATAAGACTATGAATACCGGTCATAGTACATTTGCGGACATAAAGTTGGTGAGCTTTGTTTAGTAACCTTCGGAACGCATTCCGACTCGAGAAGGATGAGAGCTGCCGCTTTGCCTGCGGAGCACGCCTGCGCAGTGACTCACAACGATAGGCGAAAAATGACATATACGAAGTGTCAAATAAGCAGGGGCTCCTAACTCCCTGTATTTTACTGGGAGTATTTTGACGGAAGTGACTTTAGTTCGTCTCGGATTGGGTACAAAGGCAGGTGGCAGTGCAGTCGACTCGGCATCATCTGTTAGTCGCCATATTGAATAGTTTCTGTTTATCAGTGACTTGAAAAGGTGTTTTGCAGTGTTTTGTATATTTAAGTGCCCAAAAAAGAGTATTTCAGTGTTATGTAGGAAGAAAGAAGGACCAACGAAGGACAAAGAGCGTGTGGCGTATATTCATAATCATAATATTGACATTTACGTATTTATGTATATATATGTGTCATTGTGTCTGTGCATATATTACAAGCTGTGTGTGTGTATGATGCATGGTAGTTTTATGCATCAAATTTTTTTCACCACATCAGATACATAGCAAAAATGTATTTGACAGTCCGCAGTCTGCAAGTGGGACGGGAAAAATATGATGCATTAAACTTTCTTGTAATTAATTTTACTTTTATTGTAAAAAATATTATAACCGTTTAAAATAATATTTGTAAACATGGCAATAAAAAAATACAAAATAAAAGTTGTAATAAATATATGTAGTTTTATATTTATATTGTGTTTCTAATATATGCATATTGAGTTGTGTTGTTGTATATAGTTGTATGCCACTGATATCTATAATTTTGTATTTTCTATACAATTATTTTATAAAATTATACAGACAAAAATTTTATCATTTCATTTTACCTAATAATTTTGAAATTATACATATTACACAACCCAATATGCATATATATAATCTTGTACAAATGTGAACGTAGAAAAAGAAATATTTTTAATAAGTATTTTACAAAACTTTATTTTTATGTCTACTCATACATGCTAATTAATAGGGCAAAATAATGATTAATTAACATGTATAAGTAGACATAAAAATAAATTTTTGTAAAATACTTATTAAAAATATTTCTTTTTCTGTGTTCACATTTGCACAAAACAGTATATATATGAAAGAGCGCGGCTGCAGAGATTTGAATACCACCGCGTATCCCCACTTCGTGTCACGTGACCTATTTTAGTTCGGCAACGTCCGGGTACAGCTCCAGATGGCGTCTGGCACTCGTTTTACAAGAGGGGAGTCTGTCCCCCTGGCACAGGCGTGCTTCGCAGGCAGGTTGGTAGCTCTCATCCTTCTCGAGTCGGAATGCGTTCCGAAGGTTACTAAACAAAGCTCACCAACTATTATGTCGAGTGTACATCACACAGATTCTCTGGCTCCAAAATGGCGGCCTGACTTCGTTTTGTCTCTATTTACGGACCTTGGGCTGTACGAGTCTAATCTCGGCTCAGCTGGTCACATACACATATAAAAACTTTGTGCATATGTAGTAATACGAAAGTCAGGAGTGACCACGTTTTTCAGCACTAGACTGATGGCACGTGTTACATTTTGTCACGTTGTATTACATTGCTACACATTACGTAGGGTTTAAATTGAGAATATTTTTAAAAAGATAAAAGCCTAAGTGACTTAGAAAAAAATTGAAGCAATGGATCACCATAGTATGCGAATGATGGAAGATCTTCCAGTGAATGGAACAAACATACCGTGAGACAAATTTGTTATTTTTTGCATCTCTACTATAAAACTAATGCGAGCTAAACTTAATAATTTATATTTGTTTATGTTTGAATAGTAGTGATATTGTTAAAAGCAATGGACAAAAAAAGGCTACAGCTTCTTCATCATTTAACAAGTTGAAAGTGGAAATGCAAACACTGCAGATACCAGAAGAATCTGAACGACAGCTGTACGATACTCTTAAATATATTTATGGAACTGTAAGTATATACATAAATTCATTGCAGAATGTGTCAGTATATACATCAGTGATTAGCTATATTTATTCTTCTTGTTACAATACTTTTGTAGAAATTCAAACTTTCTGATGCCTCTGAATATGAGAATAAGAAGTCAAACTTAAACAAACAATATTGGATGGAACGTGGCAATTTGGTTGTAAAAGGAATAGTGGATTATTCTTCCAAAGACACAATTCCTAAAAATGAAGAGCAAATAATAAGGGAATTTGCAACTTCCAAATTGGAGAGTTATGGGTATAAATCATTTTTAAAGACCAAAGTGATACATCTTGTTACTCATACTTCATTCTGTACAATATCAAAGATATTTGTGGTTCTTTTTTTATAGTTTTCATGCCTCACATTGTACAGAAGCTTTAATGCATACGGATGGTGATTTAGGTAAAGCTTTAGAAGTATTATTCTATAAATATTATGGAATTGAGGATATTCCACAAAATAAGGATTCTGAAAACGTCGATGAAGCAAATCTATTGGAACAACTATGTGAGGAAAAAGAGATAATGGAATCTATATATGGTGATGCCTTTCACGAAAAAATAAAAAATCGTATTTGGACAGTACAATTAAAATTAAATTATTTAATAAATAATCAAGAAATTGTGGAAGTAGTAGTGAAAGAAAAAAAAGAAAAGGAAAGGGAGATATGTCGACTTTTTCTACGCAATAAATGCAGGTTCGCCGATAAATGTAGATTTCTACATCAACTGCCAAAGAAAGTATCAAATGCTCCCATTCAAGAAGATCCATGTTTTACATTAGAAATAAGATTTCCTGAAGGTATAATACAATCAAGTATACTTATTAAATTATACATAATTAGTTATAAGGCCAAAAATATCAAAGATAGTTGCAATTAATATGCCGATTGACGAAACAAAAAAAATATTTCTTTTTATTTTACAGGTTGTAAATATCCATACGAAGCGCCATATTTTTATATTTATAAGAACGATAGGACATTTCCACGCATAAATTGTTTAAGAATAGCAAGGAAATTGTACGACCATGCATTATCATTAGCTAATCAAGGTTTACCAGCATTGTTTTCTATAATTTCATTGTTGGAATATGAATACGACATTAAAACATATTTGGAAGAAAATAGAGAACAGTTTTTGGATCAATATGAGCCGTTATTCCCGAAGGAACAAGAATATGAGGGAGAAGGAAATGCAGCTAGTCATTATAAACTTGGCAGCACTAATAAAAAAAGTAAAGATTATATTTCCTGGGAAGAGATTATCAAAGAGGACGATTTGATAGAAAAAAGATTTAAAGAGAAACAGAAGAACGCCAACTACAGGAAGATGAAAGAGACACGAAAGAAATTACCTGTCTGGTCTAATATGACTGAAATATTAGAAACTGTACAGCAGAATCAGGTTGTAATTATTTCAGGTGAAACCGGATGTGGTAAGAGCACTCAGGTACGTTGTGTTGTTTCTTCATTCATACAAGAAATTATCGGAAGAAAGAGTATAATAAAAATCGTAATGAAAACATTACAGGTACCGCAATTTATTTTAGATGACTGGATTATTAACAGATCACAGTCAGAGGATAAACCTCACGTGAATATAATGTGTACTCAACCCAGAAGAATAAGCGCCATAGGAGTCGCAGAACGAGTGGCAGCCGAAAGGGACGAGAGTATCGGAGGTATTATCGGTTATCAGATACGCTTAGAAAGTAAGATGTCCAGTAAAACAAGACTGACATTTTGCACCACGGGGATACTGCTGCAGAGATTATCCGCAAATTTCGAGTTGCCAGACGTAACTCACGTCGTAGTCGACGAAGTGCATGAGAGAAGTGCTGAGAGGTAAAATGTTTATATTTCTCCCTCTGCCTTTTCTTTATACATTATTTTTTTTTCTTCTAGCGATTTGCTGCTGATGCTTTTAAAGGAATTACTTCTGAAAAGGCCGACCTTGAAAGTGATACTGATGAGCGCAACGCTCAAAGCCGACTCATTTTCCTCGTACTTCGAGCAAGCACCAGTCTTAAATATCCCGGGATTTACTTTCTCTGTGGAGCAAATCTTTCTTGAGGACGCACTTGAAAGAATAGGATACGTTGTCGAGGAAAATTCCAAATTCACACGTACGATCAAGGGTGGTTGGGATCAGCTTGAAATCGATTTGGAGGTTGCTGATATCGAGGGATTACCTGCCAGTTCTCCTAAAGAATCTATCCAGGACGAGAATTTGACATTGAAGCAACTCGTCAGCAGATACCATGGTTATTCTAGACAAACGTATAAAAATTTATACGTTATGGATCATAAAAAGATAAATTTAGAATTAATAGAGAAGATTCTAGAGTGGATTGTTTCTGGAGAACACGATTATCCCGCAACGGGTTCTATCCTAGTAAGTATGTTTAATTTGTCGATCACGCCTGACTATGTGGTGTACCGTGTTGCACAATTATTTTATTACGTTATAGGTGTTCCTGCCAGGCTTTGCCGAGATTCTCACTTTGAAAGATCAGCTATACGAAAACAAGAATCTCTCACCAAAGACTAAGCAATTCGTCGTCGTTCCGTTACATTCGAGTCTCTCGAGCGAAGAGCAAAATCTCGTGTTTCAGAAAACCAAAAACGGCGTCCGTAAAATTGTACTCAGCACTAATATAGCCGAAACATCTATCACCATAGATGATTGCGTCTTCGTGATCGACACAGGAATGATGAAGGAAAATAGGTTTAATTCGGGCTTAAACATGGAGAGTTTAGACACCTGTTGGGTGTCGCGAGCGAATGCTATGCAGAGAAAAGGTCGAGCTGGTCGAGTGATGCCCGGAGTCTGCATTCACTTGTATACTTCATATAGGTTTGTATTTTAATTCCTGTGGAGAATAATATGACGCGTATGACATTTACAACGTACAACCTCTGATATTGTAGATTTAAGTATCACTTAGCCGGGCAACCTGTACCTGAAATACTGAGGATTTCTCTGGAACCGCTGCTTTTACGTATTCGGTTTATGTATAAAGGGAAAAAGATGGATCTTCATAAGACATTAGGTAGGCAAATCCCCCACACTATCTCTTCTATTTAAGATTATATAAAATGTCTTTTCGAACATTTTTTATCACAGAAAAGATGCTGGAACCACCGACACACGAGAATATCACGAACTCGATAAAACGCTTGCAGGATGTGGGTGCGTTTGATTCGAGATGCATGCTAACGCCGCTTGGTCATCATTTAGCTGCATTACCTGTCAATGTAAAGATCGGAAAATTGATATTGTTCGGTGCAATTTTCTGCTGTTTGGATTCAGCACTCACTATCGCAGCCTGTTTATCGTACAAAAATCCGTTTTATGTTCCGTTTGAAAAGAGACACGAGATTGATCCCAAGCAAGATTTCTCCGTAGCTAACTCGGATCAGTTAACCGTTCTGAAGGCTTACAAGGTATTTTTGCAACAGTGAAATAATTTCTGATGATTGGTTCAATGCTCAAAGTTTGTTTATAGTTTAATCGTAAATTGTTTCTTTAATCATTAAAATAGTATCTGATTATGACGTGTCCAGACCTTAAAAATTAAGGTCTGGTTGCAAAAAGCTTTCAAGAAATTTTAAACAAGTATTTCTACTCAGTATGTTGCTACGTAGCTTAAACTAGTACTCTACATATATATACTCCATTTTATCAATATTACTTTGTATGACATATTTTTTTTTCTTTTGCACAGGAATGGTTAGCTGTACGTTCGCGCAGTGCTCAAGCTGCCCAAGTGTTTGCCAATTCGAACTACTTATCCGTGCAAACCTTTCATACTTTGGCGGATATAAAGTATCAGTTCCTAGAGTTGCTGGTGTCAATCGGCTTTGCACCTGTCAACTTACCCAAGAGACGACCGAATATTGATAACATCTTAGAGATCACTGGACCTGAATTAAATGTCAACAATGAGAATTACAAGCTACTGCAGGGTCTCCTCTGCGCGGCGTTGTATCCCAACGTAGTAAAAGTTTTCACACCGGCAAAGTCGTTTCAAGTACAATCAGTTGGTGCGGTTCCTACCTTGCCTAAACCAAAGGAGTTGCGCTTTCAAACCATGGATGACTGTTTCGTCTATATACACCCGTCGTCTGTCAATTTCCGCATCGGACACTATACGAGCCCATATCTGGTGTATCAGGAGAAGATCAAAACTAGCCGAGTTTACATCAAGGAAGTCTCTATGATCCCAAGCTTACCGTTATTGTTGTTTTCCGGTTATCAGTTGAACATGGAGTTACACAATGATACATTTATCCTTTCCTTGGAGGATGGCTGGATTATGTTTGTTGTAGAGTCGCATAGGGTAAGTTTGTAAACGCGATAAAGAAGATAAAAAGAAACATCTTACAAAATATATGACTTTGATGCTGTAAACTATTTTCAGGTGGGTCAACTCTTACAACGTATAAGAATAGAATTAGCAAACTTGTTAGAACAAAAGATGCAGGATCCTCTCTTAAATCTTTTAAATCACCAGGAGGGCAAACAAATTATACGTACGATTGTAAATGTAATAACAAAAACATAGACAAATGTAAAGTATTTTATGTGAATAATTGTTTGCCTAGATAACATGGATGAGAGCGTTTTTTACCTGGACAATTTACTGTGATAAGCTAATTGATACATTGAATCATTAATTCTAGTATGTTGTTTATATATATAACATAAGAAATATAAATTTTGTGTTAAAATAAGTACTTATTTCTTAATAATATCAAAATATATTTTAAATCCTGAATATTGCAAAATTCAATTTTTCTTCCTACTTTTTGAATCACATATATAAAAATACAATTTTTCTTACAGTAGATAAAATTTAACAAGCTATATCCTTGGAAAAAATAATGGCAATGAATTGGTTCTAAAAGCATTTTACAGCTTAAAAATCAAACAACGCTAATATATAGGAGAATACAAAAACCTGAACGTGTATTCGGTATACAACTTTGCTTCCGCGGTTTTTTTTTCTGAAATTCGAGGCTTTATTGTAAAAAACTGGTTATATATTTATGATTCAAAGTGTTGTCCATCGCTGGCCACTACTTTCTCCCATCTTTCGGGTAGCGTACGAATCCCGCATTGAAAAAACTAGTCATCTTTTGAAGCGATCCACGAATCGATCCAATTTCTTACTTCTTCATAAGACCGGACGTGCTGGTCAACCAGGCCGTGTGCCATTGATCGAAACAAGTGATAGTCAGAGGGAGCAACGTCTAGAGAATACGGCGGGTAGGGTAGGACTTCCCATTTCAACGTTTCCAAGTATGTCTTGACCACTTTCGCAATATGGGGTCGAGCATTGTCATGCTGCAAAATCACTTTATCATCTCTCGTTATATTGCGGCCGTTTGTCTTTCAATACTCGGCTCAAACGCATTAATTGCGTTCGATAACGATCGCCTGTGATTGTTTTAGTCGGTTTTAACAGCTCATAATATACTACGCCAAGCTGGTCCCACCAAATACAGAGCATGACCTTAGAGCCGTGAATATTCGGTTTGGCCATCGACGTGAATATGCCCATGATTTTCTGCGCTTGGGGTTATCATAATGAATCCATTTTTCGTCCCCAGTCACAATGCGAGAAATCCCTTCCGTCTTTGCCTTTCAAGCAACTGTTCACAAGCAAACAAACGCCGTTCAACATCTCTCGGTTTCAACTCGTACGGCAATTTCCTTGCTTCTGAATCATTCCCATGTCTTTGAGGCGTTTTGAAATTGCTTGTTGAGTCACTCCCAATGATCGTGCCAATTCTTCTTGACTTTGACACGAGTCTTCATTAAGTAATGCCTCCAATTCTGCATCTTCGAAAACCTTCTCTCTTCCACCTCTATGCCGGTCTTCGACATGAAAATCACCGTTCTTGAAGCGTTGAAACCACTCACGACACGTTCTTTCACTAATAGCGGCCTCACCATAAGTATTTGAGAGCAGTCGATGCCTCAGCCGCGCCAAATGACGAGAATTTGGCTCGTAAACTAACATTTTCAATCGAGAATAACTTTATGATACAGACACAAATCGACTAATGTTTCTATGGGGTTATGTTGACAGATGCCCAAGTTTATTGCATGATGTCTACGATCTATTTATTTCGACCACTACTTACCGCTAAAGCCATCTATAGGAAAACGGCGGAAGCAAAGTTGTACACCTAATACTTTTCTTTCTCCAATGTAATTTAAGTAAAATATAATATTTCTGATATCTTTTTTCCATTTTTCCATATCTGTTACCACCTATGCTTATTTTGAGCTATAGCTTCATATTCCAGTCACAATATTGCTAAGAGGGCGCTAGCGAGATTTCTTTGGTACTCTGAATCCCGTAAGACCAACAGTCTATATTAATATCTCGTCGATGCATCTAGCTATAGACACTTGAGCTAAGATTGAGAAAGAGAGAGAGAGAGAGAGAGAGAGAGAGAGAGAGAGAGAAAAAGAAAAGGAAAGAGTGAAAAAGTAAGTGAGCGCGGGAGAGAGTAAGGAAGAGTGAGAGTGAGAGAAAAGTTCGCATACTGACAATTTCGCACTGACATTTGTTAGCATTGAATGTGTTTTCCGCGTTCTTTTTCAATTTTTACATTCTCAATCGTGATCACAACGCTAACTATTTTCTTCTTGACTTGCATATGTGACTGCAATTAAAAACCCAAATATTGTTCTCAAATTGTTATAGATTTAATCTACACTACAATTAACATGTCTGCTCTCCAAAAGTCAATTTTGAAATCCAGACTACCACCATCAGCCGTCAATTTTTCAGCATTAAATTCCAGGTTTGTGTTCAAATGGAAATGATTAATATTGAATCGGATAGAGTGAGTGTTTTTTAAACTATTATGATATCATTTAAGATATAGCTAAAGCATTTTCTTATTTCTAAGGATTAACAAGCTGAAAGGAGGACAACGGAAGAGAGACTACGATCCAGTAGAGTGGAATCCATATTTTGATTATTCTAAGGATGTGTTGGTGGGACAAAATACTTTCCATATTTATATCAAAGGCACAGAAGGACCATTATTAGTTTTATTACATGGTGGTGGTTACAGTGGTTTAACATGGGCAGAACTTACAGTAAGTATCCGGAATAAGTTATTTACTTATTTTCTATAAATAGGGGATGTAAAATAAATGTTAACGGTAAAAGTAAAATGCTAATGATATATATACAATAAAATTAATATATATTATAAATTTTAGAAATCAATTATGACAATGATATTATGTAGAGTTATGGCAATTGATCTTAGAGGTCATGGGGATACTTACACTACAAATGATGAAGATTTGTCAGTGGATACTTTAGCATCGTGAGTAAATTGTATACGACATTTGTTGATAACTTTAAGTTTTTCTTTTATTTTTCAGATAAGAAAGAAGTTTACAATATGATTTAAAAAAACTAAACAAAAGTACTTCATTGATGTAAATGTTAGAAAAGATCTGTATTATATTTGATAATATCAACATATCTTTTATGTAGGGATGTTGCAGCTATTATAGATATAATTGAACCTGAAGCTCCAATAATCCTTGTTGGTCACAGCATGGGTGGAGCAGTAGCTGTGAGAGCAGCTCAGCTAATCCCAAATTTATACGGATTAGGAGTTATAGATGTTGTAGAAGGCACAGCAATGGATGCATTAGCTTCTATGCAAAGCTTTTTGAGATCTAGGCCATCTAGTTTTAGCACCATATCACAGGCAATAGAATGGTGGTTGGTATTTGTTATTTGTCTGAATTAGTCTGAATTTGTTTCTTTTTCTTTCGTAAGATCAAATTGATGCTCACATCTTTTTTCATATCTAGAGATAAGTTTTTAATGAATTATGTTTAGTGTACGCAGTGGCCAAATTCGTAATATACAGTCTGCAAAGGTCTCAGTTCCTGGGCAGATAAAGAAGTTAGTGAGTTCTTAAGCCTATAATATTTTATAGATAAATATTAAAAATTTATAGATAAAAATGAAAAATATAAATCGAGTCATACTACATGCCATTTTCAGCATTGAAACTAACAAATTAGCAACTCATGATATTGACTCTTTGTCAACCCAATACACGTGTGAATCTAATCCAGAACCAGTTATATCGCGAGATGATATTATCCAAGAGGAAGATTCGTGCAGTATGCCGCCACCTGTGTCTCCTACTGTTCCTGCCAATAGGAAATATGTTTGGAGAATAGATTTGGCAAAGACAGAGCAGCATTGGTTCGGCTGGTTTAAAGGATTGTCGACGGCATTTTTGAATGTCTCGGCACCAAAAATGTTGTTGCTAGCAGGAGTTGATAGACTAGATCGTGAGCTCACCGTCGGACAGATGCAAGGTATGTGAATTTTCGAGATTGATAATGCAATATATTGTTTCTACGGTATTTTCTGATTAATTATTTTTGTGTAAAATCATAGGTAAATTTCAAATGCAAGTATTACCTGCGTGCGGACACGCTGTTCACGAAGATGTCCCGGATAAAGTAGCAGAAGCTATTGCTACATTCATGGTTAGGCATAAATTTGCAGAACCGGCATCTGATTTTCCACGGTAATTTTAATTAAATCATCTAGTAAATAATTTATCGACTTCTTTCCTCCGCACGTATATTTGCTACTTGCGTCATAAGTTATTTATGTCTCAACCATATTATTTTTACTTTTTCTATGTCATCCCGACAAATAATAAAAATATTATCTATATTTTTCATAATTTTCATGAATTAATTTTATGAAAAATATTTAATCGTCCGTAATTGATTTTTTCAGGACTTTCCCGGCTTGTTAAGAAAGTTTACGAGATAAATTTATTGAATAATGTGAAGAATTTCTTTTTTAATTAGCTGATGATTATTTTATTTCAAGGAAATATATCCATAAAATATAGACATATATCGTACATGTGTAAATAAAGACATTTATCTTAATGAAAAAAATAATTTGTCCTTACATTTCCTTTCTTTTCGCTTAGAAGCTCGTCAAACTTCAATTTTTACACTTCAATTAATAACATTATAATGTAACACGAACGATACTAAAAATACTTCTATATCTATAATACTTATTTTTCAATTTTTATATCTAACACTTATTTTTTATCATACATATGTAGAAAAGGTTAATAATTTATTGTACATCACAGAGAAATAGGAAGAAACTTACGAGAAACTTTCTTCTTATGAAGAAACCATGTATATACAAATTCTATTAAAAATTCTTACATATTCTAAATTTATATGATAAATACAAACTGCCACAACATTGTTATTAGCAAAATTATTCGTTAGCTTGAAAGTTTATATAAAATCGTAATATGTATACATATTTGTAAATAAGCAACGAAATACCGTTTGCCGATATCAATAGAAAACGTGTAAAAATCCTATAAAAATTACTATGCTAGAAAGAAATTTAATATTTGTTATGGATAAAGTGTTTAACTTAACATTGCTTTACAAAGATAGTAACACTAAAATTAATTTAATATACGTACGATATCACAATAACGAGAAAAAGAGAGACAACAGACAGTGTTACGTCTTGAAATACACAAATGATATAACGAAGCCCGTTTAGTGATTATTTAATAAGAAATAGTCTAAGTGCTATTAGCTAAATTTTTCACGACGACACATGGTCCTGCACGGCCAGCTTTAAGAGGAGCAACCTTTAAATATAAACGCATTTTGTAAGCTTTATATAAAGTAATTTTAATTAAAGTCATTCTACTTAATTATAACAATGCGTTCGGATTTGTTTGCACTTTTAAATCTCGGAAGAATGCAATAAATTCCGAATACTAAACTATACGAACAGTTTATACTTACAGGTTCCCATTCGTTAAGATGTGGATCATAAGCTTCCACCAACATTAAATATTGTTGACCATTGTATCCTCCCACAGCCATGAGTCTGTCACCTAGCACACAGACACCGACTGCATCCCGGGGCACACTCATTGGTGCGACCATAGTCCATGTATCGGTTTTAGGGTCATACCTGTCAATCACGTTATTCTTATGTCATTATACTTAATATAGACTGATAAAATTCGAAAAAATTAATTGATTTCAACATATAAAACAAAAGATAATTTGTTTGATACTTCGCTTTTTCGATATAATTGTGGAGAAGAATTAGAGCACAATCTACATTAAAAAGTTATAATCTATTTATTGTACAATAGCACGATCTTACCTTTCTACGCAATTGAATCTACTAGCATTGGGATTGCTGGCTGGAGCATCATGACCACCTAACGCGTAAAGGCAACCATTTACCACTCCTACACCTACGCCGCCTCGCCTTTTCGACATAGGTGCACACGGTGTCCATTTGTTAGTGTGAGGATCATAACATTCCACAGTATTTAAACAGGAACTGATATCCCTTCCTCCTACGGCGTACAACCTAAAACAGAGGAAAAAGAAATTAATTCCTTCATCTATTTTTTTATTAAATATGAATATTAGATATTTTTATTTATATTAAATATTTATATCAATACATCTTGAAATATGTTCTTTTATATATGTAATATTGAAACCAATTTATAATATTATACTTTAAATTAGTACGTAGCTTACTTATCATTTAATACAGCCACGCCAACTGTAGACCTTTGTATGGACATTGGACATATCGAGCTCCATTGACGTGTCGCTGGATCCCATCTTTCTACTGTATCAAGAAAACTCCAACCATCATGTCCACCAACAGCATATAAGGGTCCACCTAACACCGCAACTCCTGTAATTTTTAACACATGTTATAACATATCTAAAAAGTTAGAACAGATCTCGCATCGATCATCACATACCTAATCCATGACGATGAACATTCATGGGTGGTAAGGTGCTCCATAGAAAAGTGGAGAAATCGAAGCATTCCACCGTATTCAGTGTCTTTAAACCATCTCTGCCACCCGCGACAATTAATTTCCTATCGACTACTACCGCGCCGAACTGCAGTCTTCTGCCGCTCATGGCAGCAAAAGATGTCCAGGCGTTGTCACGCAATGAAAATGCATCTATAGATGTGGCACCTGAAAATTTTATTAACTTTATTATTTACTTTATTATAAAAAAAAAATAGAGTGACTGATATTTTCATTTCAATTTCTTACAGATGCATCTTTTACATATTCATTAATGCATTGATTGTTTATATTGATATTACATTTTCTTGATATCAATCGCGATTTTATATCAAACCGAAAATGAAATGATATTTCATGCATATATGAAATTACCTTTATTGGCATCCATTCCTCCAACAGCTAACAACGTACCCACGGTGGCTTTTCTTGGTTTCGTTCTTCCTGATTGAAGCAAGGGTCTTCGTTCGGGTAACAAATGATACTTCAGTGCTTCCATTACTAATTCCTGCGCCATTCGTTGGTCCTTGAACATTTCGTTGCTCTCGATATTGTCAGCTATAAACTGTTTTGATCTGTTAGTTGATCCTGTATATAACATTGAATCGAGCTATTGATGAACTCACCGCGGGCGATAGTAACGGTAATTTGACTAGACCTAGTAATTTGCTGGCGTCTTTGCTCCTATTTTCTGGATCATGTTCCAGCCAGATCATAAGAGCCTAAAGGTATACAACGTTCTTGTATAAAATTATCTCAAAGAGATGGAGCACAAATATTTTATGTAAACATATTTATTTGACAGATAAATTCTTTACCTTGCATTCGCACAAAGTTATTCATATCGTAAGAAATTTACACAGAGTATGCAATAAATCTTACGTGGAAGATAGTTTCTTCTGATGGAACATTAAGATCCTCGGATTCAAGTAGTTTTGCAACTTCATTGGCAGATAAAAGTAAAAATTCTTGGTTTCTTGTAACTTCCATAAAATGTTTGGTCGTGTATGCATGTGCATGCTCAAACAGTTCTGTACAGCCCTGTGTATCTGCGAACATCCGTATGCCCAGACAATTGCTTGGATGAAGTTGCTTAACAAGAAACTGACAACATGCTTTGATAACTGGATTCAATTGCAGCAGACATGCAGTTGCAAGGAGAGTTTCTACACTATCTTCTTGTAATTCTATGCAACCTGAGTATAAATGTAGAAAACCAACATTAAGAACTTTAACAATATATATGTAATTAACATTATTAATATCTTTAAGTTGTTCTATCTGTAAATAAAATACAGAGTATCATAAATAGGATTACCTGTATAACAATAAAGAACCAAAGCCCACAATGCATCTCCATCTACATTCATTAATTCTATTTCACCCTGCTCTGCCTCTCGTAAAGAACTCGTGAACATGGCAGCAAAATATTCAGATCCAGCACTGAGTACCAATCGATGAGCTGGGAAGCGTCTATTTCCTATAAGAAACACAAATCATTAAGTAGAAAAAGAATCAAGATGTCTTGATATTGAATCAAATGATTGGATATAAATTAATAAGCTATGTTTCAACTATCTACTATTGAAAACCTGAAGCAACAGCTTTAAATTATTCAGCAGCAAAGGATCCCAATGACAATTTCTAAGAACAGTGAAGATGAGAAGGTAGAAACTTTCCATGTCTTTAATTATTCGTTAGTCAACAATTTCAGATGCTTTTCAATTGAGATACTCGGTTAATCATTATCAAGTATTATCCGAGCATTGACAGCTAACAGATCATAGTGCAGACGCGCTGTTACTGCCCAGACAGTCTCCCAGCCGCTCACCCGCAATCAGTGTGACGTCCGTCAGCTGTTGCTTGTGCAGATAACTCTCCATGACGCGCAGACTGTTCTCCGCGTGCTTTGGCGAAACGGACACGCACGAGATTATGCTGGAGATGCTGTGCTCGCTGGCATCTTTGTCCAAGGCCAAGGGGAACTCCTGCTGCTCGCCTTTGTTCGCGGGAGCGCTTCCCGCTGCCGCAGCTTTCGACAGCGATGACGGCGACGATGACGACATGTTCATCCGCGGTTGTCGTTATCGCGAAGACGAGGACGACGACGATTCACTCGCGAGGGACATGCATAGCCCCGTAGATGCGTGCCGACGTAAACAATGGATCACATTCAGTCACGGTTAACGGCCATCGTTCTTCCCGTTCTACACGGGTCAACGCACTCGACTCGGCACTGTTCGCCACTGACTGCGGCTGGGCATTCGATTGCATCGAACCGCTCTCGCTCGTCGCGTTCTCTCGCAGTGCGCTGTCTCATATATACGTGTGCATGCACACATACGTCACCGCACAGAGTAAACAAAGAGCCAAGCGTGCGTGTATGAACGCTGTGTGCATGAATGTAGCAGCGAGCGCGTTAAATGGTGTGTCGGCTACGTCCGCGTTTACCAGAAGACCCACGATCCATTGATTCTCTTCTAGGTCCTTTCGTAAAATCAAGCGGCCGAGCCATGACATTTAACTCGCGCAAGCGAGATGCTATGTTTCTTCTATTACAGAGAAATCTGATCGCCAGGTGTGAGAGAGTGGGATAAACACGAGTGCGCTCGCATTCATGTCGGCTGGTCGGCTCTTCTTTATTATCACTACACCACTAGAGCTTTCCGGTCTCTCCCTCATGTTGCTGCGCACATCGCGCTCGCTGTACATTTCTTTCCACTGAAAGTAGAGCGTATTGGAACCAGAAATAGTTTATCCACCGTGTATCAATAGCGTATATATAAATACCTACCTACGCAAGTGCCTCGGGGCTTCGAGATTAATTTACCGATTTCAAAGTACAAAGAGAAAGCTGCACAATCGAGATCGATGTAATTATCAAGCCCTGTAATTATCAAAGAGCAATAGGAAACAAAGTGCAAGCGAAACGAACAAATCTCTCACACCGATCGATTCAGCTGCATTCGATTCTTTTGTGTAAACATTAATTTAAAATATAAAGTATTTATTTATTTATTTATAGTATTTATTTATTTACTTTATGGAATTGGAACGATATAACAACTTTTATTAAAAAAATCAAACATTTATTGTACTTTTCGATGTAAATATATAAATACTTTTCTTTGGATATTGTTGCTTCTATTGTGCGAGCGTGTTCGATGCGAATTTATATACAACCGCAAATATAGAATCCGCTTGTCACAGTAACCATGTTTTTTATCATGTATACATGCATCAGAATAGAACTATGGCTATTATTCGTTAGCATAATTTACATTTTAACGTCTGGTTTTCGTGCATCATCAATCCTGCATGCTTATTTATTTTTTCTACGGTAAAATAAATTTGATGTCGAGTAATTTTATATATAGTTGCCTAGCCAGATGTAGAGCTGCTATAACTTTATGAAATTTGGTGTACTTTACTTATTAAATTATACGTTGTATGATATTCTTTACAAACTTTGTAACTATGTAACATTGCATCGATTGTGTAACAATTGAGCTACAACTTGCATGAAGAGTTTTCATCACTCGTTCTCTTCAAGAATGTTGTTTCTTCAGATTGTACATACCATAACAATAATGCGTTACTATTATGTGAATTCGCTATAATTTCTCAGTGTCATTGTTGACTCATAAAGTACAATAAAAACGCACAATTGCATTGTACGCGAATATACAAAGTTATCTCAATCAAATACTGCACATAAAAGATTTTACGCGCGACGCAACGTTAAAACCGTTCTTTCGTAATTATATATTAAAAGTTAAAAGTTAAAATAGGGATTTACATGTCGATGTATAATAAATAGATATTTTTCTAAGATATTACGCAACACGAAATTTATGCGATGACAATAATAGAAACGTATGGCAGGTCATTTAGTCATATGTTTTGCATGTGTTATATCAACATCAATAAATGCTACTTGTGGTTACAAAACCTCTTTCATTTTTCGCATAACAAAGACATTTTAGCATGAAATATTATATCTATATCGGGGCTAAAAGACTATTTCTATTTTTATTTCGTTCTTCTTATATTGCATTTTCTAGCAAAATTTTGTTGGGATAATAATTTATCTATCTAATAGCTATCTGCTATTATTCTCGTTATAACAGCACAATTATATGCAAGTTACATAGAAAAACAAACGAATATAATATATATGTGTTTACTCACGCTGTAAAGACATGGTTTAGTCTTCGCATCTTATCTGAGATCACGACATGCAGAAAGAGATTTGTTAACCAGGAATATTCTAGATCAAGGATGTTGACACAATCGAGTCATTATCGTATTGAGTATCTGAAGTCGCGCCGTAAGATTTCCAAGTGCTCTCAATTAATGCGCTACACGCAGATGGCTCCTCCAGTGGTTTGCTCGCACTTGGTCGTACAGTCCTCAGTAGATGACTCCGAGAAAGATTCGTAAAAGGGCCTTTTCCGACAACAACAAAATCGATCGAGCAAGTCCGTCAATGTTTTCTTCTCGGAATCGTCCATGAAGAGACCACTCGATGCCTCGTCTGTGCACGGTGCTATGAACGTTTGCAGGTCATTTTTCGGAAAACCGTCGCGATAGTAGATCTTGATGGTATCGTAGGCATCCATTATCACAGAAATGAATAAACTTAATACGACGTAAATGTAAAGTGAGATGAATGTGTATAAATAGATCCTAGCAAACCACCACAGCACCGGTGACTTGGAAGACGTGATGGAGAATGTGGCGAACATATCGTCGCCGTTAATCAATGCGAACAGGCATTCGGACGTGGTTGCGAGGGAGCGGAACTTCATGTTGTACGGGCCGAGCACCAGCCAGCCGCAAAAAGTGAAACCGGCGTAGATCAGGATCGCGCATATCAGAAACCTCGCCACTTTCGGCGCAGCTTTCTTCAGGGTCAGAATTACGACGTTGTATGTCTTGAAGAAACCAAGGTAGCGTAACACGCCGAACCACATCAGAAGATTGCCGATACCGAGGAATATGCTGCACACGCTCCAATGATCGCTGTTCGAATGTTGACGTTCGATTCGTTCTTTGATGATGGAACCAATGATAATCAGCACGTCGTTGATGATGATCATGATGTACCAGCAGTTGAGGAACTCCAGTCGGCCCTCGAGACTCAACGTTTTGCCGTACGTTTTCTTGAAGAAGTTCATCGTGTCGAATTTCAACATTTGCGCCCTATAAATCGCTCGCGAGCATAAGAGGAAAGAGATAAAGCAAATCAGTATGACAAACAAATTCAATAGAGTCCTCAGTGCCGACTCGATGCGATTGTCCGTGATATAACGGGTGTCGCCTTTGCACTGCAATTTCCTCGGCTCGGCGTCCAATGAGAGCAGCATTTGTCCATCGAAGTCACGATTATCGAAATAAATATGGACATTGAAACGATAGCAATCAGGTGGCGTCATCGGCCCCGCTGCTTTGAGATTTACCGTCTTCAGACTAAACTTGAGTTCAGCACGCACTAGCGCGGAGAAATTAACATTAATATTCTTGTTTTGCAGCAAACTGTATGACGAATTAAATGTATCGAATGTTTCCAGAGTAATATTCACGCACGTTTCCACGATCTCATTGTCGAACACGTAGCTCTCGTTGAAGCCAAATATGATTCCCTCTTTGTATTGATAGAGACACAAAGTCAAGGGTCCAACCGAGTTATCCTCGGCAATGTATGAATATGAACCGATGGCGTCATCGACATTGTAGTAACCACGCATAGCGTAATCGATAGCATCGTAGAAATCGCTGCGTTTGTAAATGGCTAATGGTCCCGTCGCAGGTGGATATGCGGGCACCTAAAACGTATAATCATAAACCTTTGTAAATACATTCATCCACTTGGCTTCTGAAAGTTAATAAGTCAAAGGAAAAAATATTGTCTTAATTTTCAAGATGTTACAAGTTTATATCTTAACAAAGTGGAAAGTATGTCTTAGAAAACTGTAACTTTGCATACGCGTATAATGTTATTCTTTTTATATATATATATATATAAAATAACATAGCGAAATAAATTATTCGATTACGATATAATTATATTAAAGTTCGATATATAGATTGAAATATAAAGCGATATAGAAACGTTCGACGACCACTTATCGGTTTGCAATGAGTTATCTGATAAACAAAGTTGCACAATAAGAGTACAAACTTTCATGTATATTATCACCTTTCGCTCGATATTATTGAGAAATAAAATTATCATTTAAATTCAGGAATATGTGAGCAAGCTGCGATCAAGATGCATACCTCTTGAGTAGAGTCCCATCCCATCAAAAACAGATGAGAGAACGTAATTCGATTGTCCCATGTGTAGTTTACGTGCATATAATTATTGTGCGCGAACAAACAGAGTTGCGCGGTCACAAGGAAGATCTTGATGAGCTGAATAATGAATTTATAGGGGAAACGTCGCTTCGCTTGCCATTTCTCGATCGGGTTCATAAAGAAGAATCGCAGTTTACGACGCATCTTCTCCTCCGCAAACGTTATAGTCGGGCAAGAGTTGCATTCTGTCGAAACAGAATGATTTTGCCTGCAAACATATATAGATGCATTTTGTTTATAATATTTTTAGAGAAGTTCTTAGAATATTATATTTCTATTTCACAGTATTTCATACGGTAATTATCCAATTCCTAAATATATAGTTATCTTTATGCATAAATATAATAAATTTATAATTTTCTTTAAGAATCTTTGTTAATTGGACACCGATTGTGTTCCGTTCTTTCTACCCTTCCTTCTCGTTATATATTTTTATCTCATGTGACAATAGTAGGAACATAATATTTATCTTATCTTTAAGCATAAGTCGCAACTAATGAGTTAGTAAATAATACTACGTACATTATAAATTATATATTATATACATAACATAATAACCATTAGATGATAATATACTGTGATATTAATATTTGTGTGTACAACTGCATGTTTACTATCAAGCATAATAATAAAGAACAATGACATACTTAAACGGTTGCACAACTGTTATTTTCTGCACACTCATTGCTGAAAAAATGTGAATTAAACGAATGATATAATGGGAGAACTTTTCCAAGCAATATTATTACAACTATAAAAAAATTATATATTTTATAACATATTTCGAAAACATAAAAGTTGTAATAGTTATTGCCCCATCCTGTATAATAATGTAAAAAAGTTTATAAAATTATGTCAATGTTGTGTGATTAACGCGAGAAATTAATATTAAGTTGAAAACTTAAGCTTTATCTACAATTACATACAGAATGATAATGATCAATGATTTTTATATTGCTTTTTTTTTTTCAAATATTTATAACATAGGCAGACCACAATTGCCTTGTAATTCTCAGTGGCAGCCTTATCAAATAACACTACTACTATCTATGGATTATCACATATACCACCGTCATGTGGTCGAAAGACATTATACCAAATATTGACGATATTCGAACTTGAATTGCAATTTGAAACTGCAAGATGTGAAAGTTGCATCGATTGCGCTCAATTTAGACGTGGTGATATCGTAATTGACATTCATAGCGTTACATGGAGAAACGCGTTCGATTTAATAATTAATAAATATCGATACACGTGATTCAATAGTGCTCGCGATAATCGTCAAGCGCGTAATCTCTGCGATCTGTGAATAATTTTGATAAGGCTGCTTGTGCTAGCTCATTCGTTCGTTCATGAGCGAACCTTGGCTCGTTGGCTTCGTTTAGCAATGCATTCTCGCTGGCAACTTCGTCCTCGTCATCGAGATCGTGGCTCCAAGAACGATGACGCAAGATATTCCCCGTCGAGGAGTCCTCGCACTGTGTCCTTTTGTGTGTCTGCATTTTCTGGAATTCCGATGTATCCGATACAGTTAAAAAGCCAATGGCAAGCGCGCGACGAGCGTTGTCAACAATTGAGGGTTCCTATCCTGCAGAGTCGTCGTCCCGCTCCTCGACTGGCGACGATACAACAGCTACCTGCTCACATGCGTGGATCTATGTAACAATGCGTAGCGTTAAATATGCTGTTAAAACACGCTCTATTCCCAAGGCTTTTCATGACTGCTTATCATTAGACTAGGATTAGGTTAGGTTAGGTTAACTTGTGATTTATAAACGTTCATCATTACATTTACCTGAGCGTGATGCGTAACTGACAGCAGATACGAAGATCCTAAGTGACTGACTGCGTCCATTGCACACCCAACTCGATGCAATGACCGAGTGCGACTGAACAATGCCTGGTCAGCGCACCAGTTCGCACTCGTTGTTTCGTATCAGTAATCAACTACAAACGGCGAAGGGGCCTCGTTGCCAGGCCTGAATTTATATGGCGACGTAAAAGTGAAGTAGGGTCTAGCTGCTTGTGTATCATCGCGCAGGCGCCTGTACAGGCCATTTAAAGCCATTTATAAATGGTCTGTCTTCTTCACCTTAGTATTTTCCATAGATTATGGTACTTTTGCTCTTCTTCTTTTCTTTACGTTAAATCTGAAATAATTATTCATATGTCTTTTTACATGCTTCTCACTTTTGTTTTATAATAGATAGAAAAATTCGTGACTTTGAAAGAAAAAAAGCAAATAACTTTTGTATACTGATTGGTTACGTCATTCGAGATATCGACTAACGTGTTGTAGAGTTTAAGGCGATGCGACGTGCAGTCACGTGATTCTTGACGTATATAAATCTGTTATTTTTACATAAACATTAGAATGTATCGTGAAGCCATATACATATCGTCGAGCGATTACGAATACAACTGAGTTCTAACGATGGAATTTGTCGAGTTGGTAAGTAAAAGCTTTATTTTCAGAAAACTTCAGTTTTATTAATCTTTTTTATGATGCTCCCTATAACTTAAATTTAATGGATCTCTTTTGCAATCGTGACGAATAAGGACGATTGCGTTGGTAGATTGAACAATATTGCTTCTCAATGATTGATTTCGTTTGGTACTAATTATATGGCTTCAAGACTCAAGAGGTGGCCAAGACACACAATGAGTATTATATATCAATTTTTATTGTAGATTTTAAGGTTTCTTTTGAAAGGATTCAATAGTATGTTTTATTGTTTTCATTAGAGCTCAATCTTGCGATGAGAGAAAGTCACGTTATAGGTACGTTAAGTTTTTGTTTAAGATTCCTTGTAAATTGCAAATATCTTGTAACATATGCTGATGTACTTTTGGAGAAAATGCACTTTGTGCAAAATATAACTTTGGAAAATATATGATATTACAAGCAAAGGTAAGGTTGTAATAAAAATATTTATGCTTTACATTCATCAAAGCTCTTTATCTCTGCTTTTGATCCCATTTCAAATGTTATATATTCACAACGAGAGGAAAATATTATAGCCATAAGTAGATTGAGATTCGCTCAGAAAACAAGCGTTCTTAACAAGCGTTCAGAATAATAATAGGATGAAACTTACGGGGCGGAAAAAAGCTTTTCATAAATTTGTAGTTCATAAATAATTGGATCTATTTTGTTGTGTGCTGCCTCTTGGAATATATTCTTCCCTTATAATACGTACCAAGTTTTTTATAAAAATAACAAAACTGATTTTTCAGTCATTCTAATCGGCAAAATTTCATTGAAATATCACATGATGAAAAGATTTTTACGTCACTACAGGATCAGCGCCCACTTTCCTAAAAGTCTTCATTATACGAAATGCAATGAATCTACTATGCTGTATTTAACAGTCGGAAGGCAAAAATTGGAATAAAACGAATGTGAAAGTACACCGATAATATGTACACAGCATCCGTCCACATGGAAATTTTAATTTCTCGATGCGTATTGATGTTGCTGCGCGTTTAATGTTTGCAGATGGATATAGATATATCGAACGATGGGTACAGTGCAATATACAAATACAACGTAGCGAGAGAACGAGAGAGAGAGAGAGAAGAGGGGGGGAGAGGGAGAGGGGAGAGAGAGAGAGAGAGAGAGAGAGAGAGAGAGAGAGAGAGAGAGAGAGAGAGAGAGAGAGAGAGAGAAAGAGAGAGAGAGAGACCGTGTATCATAACGTAACGAAGCGCATCGATCCACCGAGAGCCGGATGAAAGGTATCCTAGTTCTCGGGAGGGAACGCTCACTGTCGAATTTTCCATCGCTCGTCGTTTTCCTCCGGGACGTGTGTTCGGGGTCGCGAATCCCGCGAGACTCGAACAAGGTTCGCGTCGACACGCGATAACACGAGTCTGAAAATCTCGCCGCGAAATTAGGCTTCGACAAGGGACAGACATGCCGCGAGACACGTCAGACAGACACGGTCACGTCAATGGAATGGAGCGGAGCACGCCCGGACCAACAGAGAGCTGGTTGGAGATAGGCGCACTCTGGAGCAAGCTCTCGGCAAGCGACACGTGGCAGCTTCCTCCGAGGGTGAGAATCGAATGGCGCTGATTCCACGGGGGTTGCGCGCGCGTTGTCGCGATATCGGCGGTGGCTGCGCGCGTTGACACGGCGCGCGTTCTCCCTGCCTCGGCGGCGCATATTACCGTATCGTACCCTCGCGATACGCAAGAGAGAACGAGCGAGAAGAGTGTGCGTCCTGCCGCGCGCGCCAACCGCCTATATAGGGCGAGAAAGCGCGCAGCCGAGAGTACCGCGCGAGCCCGAGCTCGGTCTTCGTGGTCGTGACACATAGGTGCAGTCTGTCCTACCTCGCCGTTCCGACCGCTTCTTCTGTGTAGATCTGTGCGTGAATATCGTCTCGGTCTCGAACGGCGTCCACGTTCAGCACGTTCAAGCGAAAACAAGCACGGCTGGCTCTGAGATCGAAGACCATATCGCCGTGGGTGTTCTCACGTGCGGAGAACGGCTGACTTCCGGGATCAAACAGCCGTTGCTTCTTGTTGCTCGGGTCCACGACGAACACATCGCACGAGCGATCTCTCTTCACTTGCGATTAGCCTCGAGCATAGCGTTCGCGTCAGTAGCGCGTCGCGATCGGCTTTGAGATCACCTGGGTCGTCGACCTGTAATCTTCCTACCTGTCTCTTCGTCGTCGTGTCGCGCGTCCGTCGTCTAGAGAGCGTTCCACCGCGTCTGGGGTTCCACGCTTTCGTGTTGCGTCGTGTTCCCTCCTCGACGTAGGATCCTCCGTAGGAAGTTTTCAGCTGCGAGTGCCAGCGCAGCGCCTTGGTCCAGCCGTCGGTGAGCCATCATTGTCGGTTCGAGTACTCTGCTTCCCCCCCCGTCTGTCCTCCGCCAGCCGCCAGCATGGTGGACCAAGAGCAACAGCAACAGGACACAGTGCCGAGCGTGGTCGAGCTGAACGTGGGCGGCGTCTTCTACACCACAGCCTTGACGACGTTGACCCGCGAGAGCGACTCGCACCTGGCGGCACTCTTCAGCGGTAAATCCAATGTGGAGAAGGACGCCAAGGGCAAGTACTTCCTGGACCGTGACGGCGTGTTGTTCCGCTATGTGTTGGACTTCCTGCGTAATCAAGCGCTGGTATTGCCTGAAGGCTTCCGTGAGCGCGAGAGACTGAAGCAGGAGGCGAGCTTTTACGGTTTACCCGGCCTGCAGCGGGCTATTCTGGAGAACTCCGAGTCCGGCGGCGGGCAAATTGGCGGTGCGGTCGGCAAACGCACACCTGGCTACATCACCGTCGGCTATCGGGGTAGCTTCGCCTTCGGTCGCGAGGGTCTGGCCGACGTGAAATTCCGCAAGCTCTCGAGGATCCTCGTGTGCGGCCGCGTGGCGCTCTGCCGGGATGTGTTCGGCGAGACGCTGAACGAGAGTCGCGATCCTGATCACGGCATGTCCGACCGTTACACGTCGCGCTTCTTCCTCAAGCACAGCATCATCGAACAGGCCTTCGACATGCTGCAGGAGCAGGGCTTCAGGCTGGCGGGTAGCTGCGGCTCCGGCACCGCCGGCGGCAATTCCGAACAGCTGAAACCCGGCGTGGACTCCGAGGAGAATCGTTGGAACCACTACAACGAGTTCGTCTTTGTGCGCGACTAAGCCTACGGCGGCTGCAGGCTCTTCTCACCGCGACTAAGGTGCATCCGGTTCATCAATCAATCGTCGTCGTCGGCGGGCCCGCACGTTAATACGCACGGATTATAAACGTGTGGGACGGCGATCAGGTAGCCGCGGCCGCGGCAGGAAGACTTCTTCGGGTACACTGAAGGCAGGTTGATGCGGAAACGGAAACATTCGCGAGGACACGCGTGTCTAACACGTGGGCGCGTAATGCGCGATAAACGCGAGACTCTCTCGTTGATATAGCGTATACGCCGGATACATAATAAGGCCGAGTCCAGGTTTTAACGAAGATCACACGGGTCGTGCAAAAGCGTCGGACGGACGGTGTAGCTTAGCCAAGTTCCTAGTTCATTTGTTCTCGCGAGAGAATTTTTCCCATAGAGCTATCACGGTTTAACGCCGGGGCGAGAGAAAAAGAGAGATCGGCTGGCACAATCCTGCGCCAGGAAGCATCACGTCCGAGATGGACGGACAACTGACGGTCTTCGGAAACATTGAGTTCATTTGATTTCATTCGATATTGCTTACGTCGCAATAAAAAGAAGAAGTGAGAGAGAGAGAGAGAGAGAGAGAGAGAGAGAGAGAGATAAACGCAAGACACGACGAGGACTGATTTTCCTGGACCATCGTCTTTTGATGAAACATTCATCCGAAACACTGATTACGTTCATATTATAAGGAATTGAGGCTTCACTTTCAACCCAAGCATGGAACTTATCGAGTTTGCCACATCGGACCTTTGAATGCCACTCGCTGATACTATGGAAGAAGGTGCATCATGGAAGATTACGAGCGACACAGCCCGGAATGTAACGGCCCAGGAGTGTTTGTTCTAAAGCAGAGACAACTCGTAATTGTACACCCTTCACGTGTAACTAGATGTTCAGATGTATATTCGCGGTTATACCACTAGAGAATCCGAAGTTCAATCCGGATACGAATTGTTAATATCTCGACGCATGGACGCGCTGATTGGCATGAGATTCTCATTTTTCCGACTCGTTCCGATACGTCCGTCGCTGCCAGGGGACTGCCACTGGGGAAGGTTTTATTAAAAAGCAGCCTCGCGTAAATCCACTAGGCGAAAGACACTAATGTCGGACGTTTCTCATCGGTACAACGTTTGTAGGAGCGCGGTAAAACACCTACGGGTGAAACACGCGGGAAGAAAAGCGGATCGGGGCGAAGCTGACTTGTGATGTTGAAATATCCGCGAACGGACGCGACTTGGTCACTTAAAGAGGCGACACTGTCAGATGCGTCGGTGATAAACGCCGTCGGGAGCGACGAGCGAGAAAATATAAAAAAGTTACTTGAACGCAAGACGGATTTGACGCGGGAAGCGTCAGCAATTTGAGAATATCGGTCGGTGCTATTTTTCATTAACGTTTGGCGGGAGAGGAAATAAAAAAGAAAAGAAAAAAAGAGAGAAGGCATTGGGTAAATTCTACGATCGATAGAATGGTAACGAAATCGTCGTTTGGAGGAAGTTTCCGGTGCTGCTTCGTCGAGTAGTTAATGTCAGTAAATGGTCAGATCAAGTAGCCACAGTTGATCGCTAGTCGGGTTAGTAGTTAAGGGCACGCCACAATCAGACGATTTCTTTAAACAGACTTACGCGAAGAAGCAGCAGCGAGGATTGGAAGAAAAGGGATCGATAGACCTGAACGTCCGTTAAATTGTTGTTTCCGGATAAACTCGGTTTAAACGGGCGACTGGCTCCGTTTCCGACGAGGAGAGAGGCTTGTAGAATGCGTGTGCTTACAAGCCGACACGATGTTAAACGCGCTATTCAAACGACGGAACGCCAGACACGTCGCTCACCCCATCTCTACTTCTCGTTTGATGATACTTCGTCAGTTTCTTAAAGCACGAAGCACGGGCTTCGCACTTCTTTTCTCTTTCATTCGAAATTCTCCTTTCCGTAAAGTGGAACAAACATAAATATGGCAGGCAATTTGTAGCTTTCGATCCGTTGAGTCGCGAAGACCTCGGAGCGCGAAGAAAGTGAAACGTCGGAAATTTACAATGAATCCCGCGTCTCGTAAGATGCGGGAAAAGTGTACTCGCACAATCGAAAACACACAAAAGCAAGATTCCGCTATTTCTTCCTTTTCGAATAGCCTCGTGTGATTCCCTCCGTAATATGTTCGATAGGAACGATATGAAAAATCGGAGAGAATAAGTTCGAGCGCGAGTGTTACAAGCTGTAAAAGAAGCGAGCATTTTTATTAGTCGCAACGCAATTTCTCCAAGTTCTCAGTCGCGCTTGAATTTCAAACGAATGTATCGATTTCCCTGGGGTGGTTTTCGTTCTTCCGTAGAATCATCCGAAGTAACATGTTTTTACTACAACTTCGCTCTAATTGTTATGGCTCGCGAGGCACACGACACGTCGTATATTCACGGCTAATTATTTGCATGCTCAAAGTGACGAAAAAATTCATCGCGATGATAATCTCGTCGCAACAGGTTATCGTGTAACGGACCGTGGTTAGTGATCGTTTGAGAGAACGCCGACGGCGTTGAGCAACGAAGCGGATATCGAATATCACGTTAGGTTTTTGTTATTGCGAAGGTGTACGACATCGAAAATTTTTTTAAGTTGCGACATCGACGTGATAAACCTCGAGTCGGTGTTTCTTACCATTTTCGACCATCATGACATCACCGATATCTATTGCTGCTGTGAGACGACCGACGAACATATGATATTGCGATAATTATAGAATCGTCTGAAATTTAATCGCATTTAATTTTCACGCAGCCAGCGCGGAGCTAAAATGATGCGTAGCAAAGAGATTCATCGCGAATTCAGGGAATAGCTCGATATTTGCTCTTTATAATTATGACATGCGCTGCGGTCGACCGAAAACGGTACCCGTGCGATAATGCGTATCATTGCTGTTATTGTTAGTACGTGGTTCGCTGTCCGATGAACGATGCATCTGCGTCCCCGCGGGAGATTGATTTATAATGACGTTACGTCCGGATTGTCGTGCGAGTTATGCGTGTCAGCGCGAGGCGTTATACCTAACCGAGAACGGTGGTGGACGTGATGGCCCGATATGCCCAATCCCAGAAAATTTAATTCATCCATATCGCGCTTTCTGCCCGCCGAGACAAGGCGGGTAATTCTCCGTGATTAAGATCTTTTACGAGTGGCGTTGGTTGCCACGTAAAGGTCAAAAGATTACGTGTCTTGTGTTGGGCGAAAAAAGATATATCGTTTTGCACGACGAATGGCGAACGCGAACGACGTCCTCCGCATTCTTCTACGAATTCTTTTTTCTTTTTTCTCTTTTCTGACAAATTTGCGAAATTACGCGTGAGATCAGTTCTCGGATAATCCGCGACTGATCACGATTACGACGAGATCGTACGGTACGTTAAATCCTGCTGGCCGGAGGATTCTCTATCTATTATAATATCGGGGCGATGGCATGAGATAATCGTTATGCGATTACTTCATTAGTAAATCGCGCGCTCGATGCCTACTTCCATTTAATCTGTACAAATAAAGACATTCAGGTGAATCAAACTTGTAAGATAGCAGACGGACGTTGCAGGATTAATGTAAGAAAATCTCACGTAATGACTTTAAAGTATGATTTATTTTTACGCGACGGCACACGAGTGAAACTTTAGTCCTTTTCCCAACGGCACATATCATTCTCACCAATTCCTTTCTTATATATCGTCTTATGTATTATTTGGAACACACTCAGGGTGTGCAGCGTTCACCGGCGTTTTACTGAATTTTTCGATTTACAGCGGACTTGTAATTCCACATTATAGTTTAATTCGTGGACACGAACGATACAGTGACACGTAAAAATTGGGCCCAAAGCAAGTACTCACTACGACGCGCGGAGCGCGTCAGTTAGATATCCATTGTTGATGTCTCATTTCGAAAATTAATTTTCATTGTCGCGTTTAGAACTAACGATCGACTTCAAACTAACCGATATTATATTATCGAATAGAAATTAAACTGTATTTTCTGATTCCTATATTGATTTCTAAGATACTGCGAGCGACTTTCAAAGCTGCAGCGCAGGAACATGTGAGCGCGTTAATGGTGAAAAATGCTAGAAATATTAAAGTGTAATATTTCTTTCGTTTTGTTTAATTATATACACACAATTGCCGCATCTCTCTTTAAATGTCACATGCTCTTGCGCTTGTACAGGAGTCGCGTAAAAGATAGTATGCAAGATACATTTACGTCGACAATTTTAGAAGATAAGTTGTCTTCCTATATCCGAGTACGCATAAGATCGTTTATTCATTCGCATCGAAGTGTTTTCCCGGCGTATTATGCGTACGTGGAAAACTTTGAGATATGCCGATTAGAATCCGTGATATAGAGGCTCTATTTCGTAGATTAGAAGCAGCATTATACAACCCGCCGCGAAGACGGGTGTGTCTCGAGCGAACGAATTTGGTAGAACTCGAAAATCCTTCCGAGTCCCGTCAAATTTCGTAAAAGTTCGAATTTCCTCGAAATCGATCGAGGCTACTCAAATCTTTGCTTAGCATTATGAAGTTGGGTGAAGTATTCCACCCCCCGAATAGTACTCGAATCCATTAATATCTCAGTTTTGCTCTATAATGTCTGGCATCCGATGGAATTCGAATTTCTCGAAGCCTGATTAAATTTCCTCTTAACTACTTTGAATCGAGTATTTTCTTCTCTCGAGCATCGAGCTCGAAATTCTTTTCTTTGAAGCGAAGCTTTCGTAAGTTCACTAAAGTTTTCACCAAAGTTTAGAACTTAACACGCATACACCCATACACTCGAGAGATTTCAAATTTTATTTGTAAGATATAATAGAGAATATAATAGAGATGGCAGTAAGCAAAAAAAAAAATAGTTAATCACGATCGGATCATTTTTCAAGCTATATCCACACTGGTATACTGGAAGACATCTTTGTGCTACTCGCAATCTATCTATCCGCGATGACGGAATAATTTGTCCGAGAGTTTCTTTTTATCCACAATTAGAGAAATATATCCTGACCAATTTAAAGATATAAAATACTTTACGTGCGCGTTCTCTCCAACACTTATCGAGTGGACGACGAAAGGACTTTTTTGCGGCGCAACGTATGATGGTTTTGACATTCTTTGAGAAATGATCCGAGCGAAAAATTGCGACGCGCGAATCGTGGAAGTGCTCGATTCCCGTGTTCAAGACTCGGAACCCACTTATTGAGGAGACATTCAACGAGTAGAATCAGAACGGTGTTAAGTAGCGTGTAAGACTGTGACGACTATGGAATTATTGTACATATATATACGTACATCTAAGTGAAGAGAAAAGAAATAAAAGAACGAGATGACAAGACGAGAGAACGAGCTTACTTCTAATGACCCTTGACCCACGCTTCTCATGATTTTTGGAACTCTCTGAAATCCTCGTGCTGTGAAGGGTCCTTATCATTTTTCCCCTTGGGCTTTGACCGGTCGTGTTGGAGTAAAATTACGGGCGATATACGAATTGTAAATGTCAAGGGGGCTAAATCACGGCTGAATTTATGTAACTCGGCCAACAAAATTTATCTTCACGAGTAAACATCCTTTCGCGGCAAACACAAGCTCGTGCTTTCAAGTTATTTCTTTAGTGGAATCACATTCGCGAGATGTAATTTAAAAGGAAAAAGAAAGAGGGAGAAAGGGAGAAAAGAAGAAACGCGTCTCTTTTTGCTCTACGGCGTGTTCGAGACCTATCAAAATCTGACAGGGCACCGTCGCGCGAACGTTTCCCTTTAAGACTTCTATTACAGAGCGAGGCAACGATGTTATTCTGCAGAGTGACTTTCGCACCATATTTTAATCTTTAGTAAATAATTTTCGCCGTGTCGCTGAGCTTATGTATTGAGTGTACGCGTGGAGGTAATCCACGGAACGACGGCGAAAATTAGTTACCTGAGATTAAAACCTTGGGCGGAAAACTGTGGCAATAGAATTATTTCTTGATAGTTAAAGAGATTAATCGATAAAAGGATTAAGCGAGACGACGCCACACGACCTATATATTATTCTGAAGCGACGGAAACTGTTAAGTTACAATCAAGTTTTGCAAAGTTAATCTCGAGTCCTGCGTTTTAACGCGCGTTCATATTCAAAGTGCTTTTTCTTGAATTCCATGTCGACATCGAGACATGAATATTTCTGAATTCTTATATATTTATTCTGTTGATACTCGCCGAAAAAGAACGGGGTTTGCGAAGTTTTAATTTTGACGGAAACATCGGAAGATCATGCAGGGCACGACGCAACGGTGTAACACGTATCGTTGAATTAATCGCAACAAGGGCGCAGCGTTTCAAACGAGGGAAGGAAGAAACGATTCTCTTTGCACGATAGTTTCCCCGCGGAGGAGGAGATTGCGCGTTAACGAACGGCACCGGAAAATGGTGGATGCAAACTCGATTGCCCGTTTGAATGAACTGTCGCACCTATACGGTCGCACGGACGTTAGTTTGTTGTATGTAGCAGAACAGCACAAGGGAGCAATCTGTTGCTGAGTTTTCATTCGTCAACGAAGAAGACAGAGGAAAAGCGAGAAAAAGATGAAGGGAGGAAACGAAAAAAAAAAAGGAGGAGAGTAAGCGTCATCAACGAGACGTAAGTAAAATCGAGGTCGAGTTTCTTTCGTCAACGAGGACTCCATCATCGTGTCGTTGAAAACGCGAATAACACGACACTGTTTATCTTTGTTCTTGTCATTCTCTTTGAAATCTTCGATGGAGACGTAACATGTAAAATCCAAAGAACGAAATTATTTTTCTTGTAAGAGATGATGCTGCCGCTCGCACGAGCAGAGGGCTTCGAAGATGTGTTGTACATGTTATATGTACTGTCTCTTTCTACATATACCTTCTAAAGATCTCTATGGGAATAGGAGAGGCCCTATATGCTTTTCTCGCAGCAAAATTCATGAAATATTTCGCAGAATTTGACGGCTTCCAAGACTGTCACAAGTCACAAGACTTGTGACAAGTCAGAAGAAGAATTGGTGTGAATAACATGGAAACGTTATTTAAGAAATAAGGCGTACACCTCCGATTTGAATAGAACTATATTAAATTAAACTAAACCATGAACGGACTAATTAAATATTCGTGAGTACTATCTATACAAAATCTGCAATGGATATTAATTGAAACTAGAGTATAATAAAAAAAATCTATATTAAAAAATATTCCTTAATGTATTCTAGTTTAATTTTATTTATTGAAAATAAACTCCTTCTTTAAACAAAGTGTCCATGGATGACATGACTGTCACAAAAGATCAAGGGATGCTTTCGATTAGAAAATTTCGTTGAGGGCGTTTCTCTTTCAGCACGAGATTTTAGCCATAGCATCAACCTACAGGAAGTATCGATTATTGGTCAGGCATTTCCCTTTTTCGCGTATAATCTATAAATATTGTATAGGTTCTAAAAGTGTCGGTTCATTCTCGCGAAAATATGTGCCGGAATATCTCGATGTATTGCGATGCAGGTAGAGCCGGCTTTACGATTAATAACTTCCAACTAAAGAAACAAAAGGGAGAAAAAGACGAAAAATATCGTATGTGCGAGATTAAAGTACAAGAATTATGTTTTCACATAAATTGTAATGTTGAATTAGTCAAAATTTTATGTTTTCACATAAAATTTCACATAAAATAATTCAACGTTACAATTCATGCTATAGTGTATATGCGATAAGAACAATAATAATTTAAAAAAACAAAAATTTCTTATTATTTGAAAAAAATGCATATATATTAGATGGAATAATATTGTGCACGTAATTCAGTGAAATATTTTAATATATCAGTGAATATTCTATATAATATTCATAACATGTGATATTACATATGATATGCATTTGGAAATTTATTTGATCTTAATTATAAATTTACAGAATTTGTTTCAGTTTGAAAATTAATATATATCTTATTAATACTTTTAATAAGGTTACAAAGATACTGATTAAATGATATTTAAAAATGCTTTTGCGTTTTCGCCATTTCTTGATATAGCACACCCCACACGCAGATTTGCTTATTTATGAAAATCCAAACTAGGAGTGCTAATCATGCGCTAATCCGACTTGAGTAAAATTTAATGCTTGCACGACCAGTTTGATGGAACTGTGCGATACTGCAGTAATGGCTTACAATGTTACAAGTATGTTCGGCGACACGTTCTATGCAGCGAAAAAAGTAAGAAATTATTCATTTAACTTACCCATCGCCTATGAAGTTTCTGTCTAAACTCTATTTTGCCAAATATTTACGATGAGAAGATAATTTCTTAGAATTTCTTATATGTTTCTAAGCATGAGGTTAAGGAATGATAGCGAAGAATGATAGGTTAGGTAAGTGATAGGTTAGTAACGTCAATTAATGATAGACTACTGTCGTCAGATTACAATATGTGACTTCATGTTTTATCACACTGTATCGTTGAATCTATCATGTAACGACTATGCTTGATTTGTCTAATTAATTTAAAAAGCAGAAAACACTGACTGAGCGACGCACAGACAATTTGTGCTTAATGTTATTTTAACAAGATTGCAGACATATCTGTTAAATAATATTTGATGATAATGCGTTTTCGTTATTTCCCGCGACTCTCAATATATATACTCTATACGTGAATTTGCTCACTTAGGAGAATTCAAATTACGAGCGCTGATCGACTGTTAAACCTATCTGAATGAAAGTTAACGTTTGTCAAACAGTGTGAAGAGAGCAGCGCGTCTCTACGTAGGCAACATGGCGTCATCGTAAGAGTCGTTTGTTCGCCTCCGTAGCGGTTGGATGTGGTTCCTGTAACTACGCATATTTTTTGATCGTGGAGACTGCGTACGCGTTTTTCTTTTACCTTCATACTACTGGAAAATGGCGTATGGACAAAGCTGAATGCAGTCCGGAGCCATACATTGAACTGAACTGAACTGAACTGAACTGATGGCGTCATCGTGCTCGTTTCGCGGTAACTTCGCAGCAAAAAGGGTAAGAAATTATTCGTTTAACTTATGTGTTACCGTTAACTGCGAAACTTCGACGTAAATCCCCGTCGGTCTCATCAAACTTTCATAATGACAGGATGATTCTGCGGCATCTCTTATGCATTTTCAAGCGTCAAGTTAGTCATCTGAAGGCGACAAGATATAAAGGGCCGTTCTCTTATCGCAGCTAGTGGTAGAAACAATACATCATCAGTAAGTTCTTACACGTTTTCACATGCTATATTGCATCGGCAAACATGTATGCGATAACAATCATGTTAGAATCGTTCGACTGACATAAAATGCAGGAAATATTCATCAGAGATGTAGACAATTCACATTCATAATTAATGATTATTTAATGGATATTGAAATAATATATTTGACTAAAAAGCGTAATATTAATTACATGAGTAGTATTACACAATATTAAGATAATATATGAATTTCGGAAATTTCTTGTCATGTATACACCGTTAGAGATTAATAAGTTATGTGCGGATGTATCGCGTGTGATAGGTTATGTAGATACGGGATACGTGAGTTTACGTGATATAACAGTGATATAACAGTGATGCTTCTAATTATCGTTTAGCTGATTTTTTAGTTCCCCTCGTAAATTATATAAATTACTAAATGTAGTACAACGATAGGTAATTTAGTGAATTATGTAATTAGCGTTAATCGGTGTTGGTAGAATCAGATTGCAGGGGAGCTACACAGAAGACAGATGTCTGCCTTGTCACTTTAAAGTGGATATATTCTAGAAACCGCTAATCCAGGATTAGTTTACCCTAAATAACCATTCATAGAAACAGGGATATAATACCATGAGAGTGGTGTGTTGTATTACTTGATATTGATTTTTCAAAATTTAATCACATTATAACTGCTAATATGAGAAACTGTGTAATATGAAAAATAATACATAATTATTTTGTTTAAGAGAGAAGTATACATGATCGGAAGTAATTATTGAGAAGAAATAAACATCTCTACTTAGGAAGGAATTATTTTTATAATTTTGAGGAGAAAATATTTTTATTTAATTTATTTATTTCTATATTTCAAATTTGCCATTTTAATTTCTATATTTCCCTCTTTTTAAATATATATTTTATTAAACATTATTATATTGATGGTTGTAACCTCACTTAATTTTATAAAAGTAATTTTATAAAAGTATTATTACATTATTGTACAAAGAAATAGCTATTGAGCTGTTATAACATTGTTGGATATTGTGTTGTATTACATTTTGTATCACTAATACCAGGCTTACGTCTGACATTTATTGCAGATCCTGACAGCAATGTAAATGCGAACAGAAAAATTTCTGTCGGACATTACATTACATTACAATGAGAAAACGCTAATGAGAAATGTCATGCGATAAATGTCAGGTCTAAACTTAGCGTAAGACGGAAGAGGATGTTTTTAAAAGTAAAAAAACGGGCGATTTGCGTCAATTATAAAACAGGTTACGTATACTATACTTGTACTGTTTTCGTTTGAATTAACCAAAAGCCGATCTGTAATTTGGTTTTTGTCAGAAAAGTGCTCGCTAACGGGAATTGAAACGAAAAAAGAACGCATCATTCGACTAAAATAAATCGCACGCCCGATGCCAATTAAAAAAAAAAATTCGATATCTCGCCGATTGAATATCTTGCAATGTATTTTGTTCCCGGCGGCACATCATTGTTCCGCATTTATTGGGTTTACGTCGAGAATGAATCAAATATCCCGAGTGACGAATAAAATGTCGAGCGTGATAAATAGCGATTATAATCAACAATATTTTTTTAGGTTCGTTATATTTCAGTATGTTTGACTTATTAATATGTAAATTTCAACTTTCACTTAAACTTTATAAAGTGCTATTGACGCCCTATAAACAACGACTCCAATATGGATTAAAATATTCTTCTCTTTGCATTTTGGAAAAGTGCAATATATTGCATACTTTGTTTTCTTTGAATTCTGAATCGAATTACAGATCTCATCTTGTCGCTAAAACATATATATTGTTCGAGGCCATATTATTCATATCTGACACTTTATTTAATTTTTCGAACGTCTAGTAACTCTATATAAAAAGTATAGAAGCATAAATACATATGTAAACAAACGTAAGCTTTAAAAACAAAAGCTTTAAAAACAAAAAGGGAACGGAAACGGAAGATTTGAATAAGTAATCAGATATACAGCGTTGCATACAACATATGTTATAACAAAAGGATTTACGCGTAAGATATACGATTGGTAAAACCTGAATATGGTTACACCATATTTTTGCCAGTTGCTCTGTATTTGCGCTTTCACTTGGCGGTTTATCAATTTTTCGGGCCATTTGTCGTGTTGTTCCGGTGCAAATAAAGCGTTGGCGGTTCTCGCCGAAAGCCCGTCAGTTTATTCGAGTTTCTATTCGTCGCGCGTATTATCATTGCTGTACAAATTTTCTCGATTAACTCGTAATTATCTCTCTCGACCTAGGTCTCTACCGCTCATTCCGACGTCTCTCCTCGTCCCCGCATCGATCGGATCGGATAATTATAACACTGCGGCCGGTGCTGCGGTTCGAAGGACGACGACGACGACGAGGAGCGGCCGAAGTGAGAATTTCAATCTCGCGCTCGCTGACGAATTTCGGATGCCCGAGGTGCCAGCAATTTCCCTGACGACGGATACAATTTCCAGGTAAGCACTCACATTGAATATCGTTTATGTGGCGTTACGAAGAGATTCCCCCCAGGGTTATCTCAGAGAAACTGTTAACGAAGCCAGAGGAACCTGCCAGTATTTACTACGATACGTTTGCGTCGATCCGCTCTTCGTTTTAAAATGTTTATGAGAAAATGATTTTATTTAAAAGAATATAATATTTTTAGAAAACCTATGAACAATTGCAAAGGATACGCTGTGACTCCGTTTAAAAAACATCGAAAATTTAAACGATATATAAAGAAATTTCAATATATAAAGAATTATAAGATTCATTGTTATTTATTGAGGTAAATTTTTCGCGAGATTGAAGCATTTATGCGTTTTTACATGTAACGTGTTCAGCAAATCTGTCTTAGCAAATTTATCCGAAACACATTTTCAACTTCAAAAAATATTGTTCTAAATGTTGCCAAGAGTAATTGCTTTTGTCCAAATTATTCTGCAAGTTATTTTAAAGTTTGGTGGTCACATAGAGAACGAATCTCGAAAGTTTGACAATCGTAAATGAAAGGAATTTCCCGCGGCTTCGAATTAAAGTGACATTATGTCGCTTCAAAAGGTTTCCCAGGCCACTAAACTGCAAGAAAGTTCCGCACTGTGGAAATCACTTTTTCGTTTGGTTTCTGTGCCATTTAGGTATAATTGTGTCTTTCTTTATTCAAAATGTCCTCAAGACAGAAGACATAAAGATAATTAGAGTATCGCGAGGAACCTGTTTGAGAATACTTGAATGGAATTCCAAACGGTGGATCCTCTAAGGATAATAAACGGCGCTCAGGTGTGTTGTAATAGCGATATCTGCGTAACGGTATTTCGGGTGTACGGGCCATCTGGCTCGGCGAAAGAGGACGCCGTGCCATATCGGCAAGATATAGATTTTCCACTACAACGCGTTCGCATTTAATTACATGTGACGACAGCGATTAATACGCGCGATTGTCTCGCGGCAGTGGTCTCGGAGGCACAGTTTTAGAGAATGCAGAGAAATTAAAAACGTTTCGCGTGTCCTTGCAGTGAATTTATCGTTGGGTGATACCACGTGCTTCTACGTATTTTTCGTATAAGTCACTTGTGTGTTCGTCCTTGCGTTATTACTTTCCCCATGTGGATATTACGGACGTGGTATTTCCAAGTTTATCGTACGAAGGAGAAAAATTTTCGCTCGAGTAATTTGAGAGTATAATTAAGTGACTGAATAAATAGCATTTAGATAAAGCGAAAATTTGCTATGACAATGAGAAAGGGGATATCTTATCTTCTTTTTTTAGGATAGGACAGAAAATTATGTAATTATATAATTATACACTTTTTCTTTGCTACTGACAAATTTGTTGTGTTAGACGTTACTATATGTGTATAAAAATTTATATTGCATGATAGTATAAAAAGTATATAATATTAAAATTAATTTTCGGGATCGGTGCATCAGTCTAGTAGATCCTAATAACAAATAAATCTTTTGTGAGTCATATGGGCACAGCGTATGCTTCAAATTTTTCATATTGGGCGTATTATTTTTCCATCAAAATTATAAACATAGGTTGTATATTTTATGATATTTTATGGGATTATAGGGAATATATAACGATATTTGTAAAATTTTAGAGATATCGCGTTTAAACACATTTTTCGCCATAAAGCATTCGTACGTGGCAAAAAATTCAGGAAAATGAAATAAAGCGACACAAATTACTTCTTAATATTTGCCGTGCTGGCAAGTATCGACGAGGGGTTATATAGTGCGCATGATTCCTTCTGAAATTATTCCATTCGAATATTCTCGTCATAAAGGGGATGATCGTCCTATCGTGATGCGCACGTAATGTATTCCGCATTCGAGAGCGGATTCCGCGGACATCGACGACGATGTCGCTCACGACGGCCGCATTTTCCCCGGTAAATGATCGGGATTGAATTACGTCACGGTAGCAATCACGAGTAGCCGTCGCGAACGATCCCGGGAAGCCCCTAATGAACACGAAATAATTAAAATCCTTCGGAGACGTCCGTCATGGTGGCCCCTGTGGACGTTACGATGGATTAGTTTCATATTTTTGTAATACTTTTTATCCACGGCCGTTTTTGAGGAAGAATTTAATTAGTCCTTAGAATGTCTTAGCGACATCCTAATGTGTTTGTTTTAACTACGAGAAATGCTAACGTGCAGTATGTGCAGTGTAAAATGTGATATTCTGCGCATGCTACGTGTCACGTTACACCCTTCTTCCACTTTCTCTACTTTAGAGATAAATGTGTACTTAAATGAGCACGAGATGTTGCGTTGTACAATGGACAAATCATTATGTCTCTGCGCGATGGTTCTGTTGATGATTTTCTGTATCTTTAATATCGCCGTGAAATAATGCTGACCTCGTAGTTACGAGTCAGCGGTTTAGAAACGCGTATGAATTCTTCCATATAAGTCAAATTAAATGCTGCTCAGTATGAATAGCGCGATCCATATCTGTACTTAAAGCTGAACATTGACTTTTTTTGAGTATTTCTCACATCGACTGTATGTGTCATTATTTTAATCAAGTTGGGCATTCATATTTCGGATTTAAAAATTATTATTTGATAAATAAAACAGGCCAATTATTTTTCTTACACGACTATTGTTAGTTTGAGTGCAAAATATCTGCTAGATACGTTAATTTTCCTTTACGTTATTTTCCAGGCACGTTAATTTTACTTTATGGCACATTTCGAATCGCTTCTCACGCTTTACTAGATCGTCGTGCGCGAGATGGATGAGATGTTTTCTTGAATAATATCTCGGAAGTACGATTGCGGTGTTCAGAGTGGAAGTGAAATCTGCTACGATCCGTAGATTGTCGACACGACGACATTTGCAACACGTTTCTCACGTATTACAGTCGAGTTAATAAACAGTTCTCGAATATAGGTTGGTGTCGGTAATGAGGGTCGCGAAGAGCTAAGCGCAGTTACGAGTGCGCGTGGTCTTTTTACTCGTGCGATTGGCATACTGCTGGCAAACAGCATGCTATTTATGGCAACCATTAACACCCTTTTGTTCGCGAAAATGAACTAGGCGGGAGGGAGAAAAGTATATATTTTCGAATTTTCGTTATTTCGCTCGGATCCGCCGTTTTCTCGATATTGCCCTGGAAGCTCAGGAAAAGAGGAAGGGCCAAAGGACACGCAAAGTCTAGGACGAGCTTGTAGGATCGACAGGCTGATCCAATAGGATAGTGTTCGGTTGCGATTCAACATTGATACGAGCAGTATCGTAATCGTATTTTGAATTCGCAGATCTGACCGACTCGAATTGCAATTTATATGCAATTAGAAAGTTTTTTGCGAGTTCTTAGAATAATTGTAATTAATCATTTTTAGACCATAAAATTAGCCGAAAACTTCATGGTCTAAAAATAATTAATTAAAATAATTCCATAGATTTTTACAAACCTTCTTAAATGTACTATAATCCTCTACAAACGAAATACAAACGATAGCATAATGTAATTTCTTAAAAATTAATAATTTGCTGGCTAACTTTATACGAATCGAACCGGACTGTGAATGTTCTCTCAGTTTGATCAATACAAGCAGCGCGCAGGCGTCCTCGGCGAATAGAAACACGAGCCTTCTCGCTCGCTTCCCTACCCGTGTCTGATCGGAAACAGGTAGATGGAAGAAAGGTTAGCTAGAAAAAGAATATAGGAAGATATATAGCGGGAAAAGAAATGATCCTTCTCATTGCGATACACTTAAATTGACCGCGGTATCTCTAGAACTTTCAGAGGAAAATATTCTGTCAGTTAAGGCTATACGTTTCTTTCTCGTTTGTTCATGAATTCATGACGCGAGTCTCTCCTAATAAAACGATCTTTTCACTATCGAAGGAGGCAGTGAAATTATTTCGGATTAATGTTCCCGCGATATTCGAACTTTAGTACTATTTCCATTGTCCTTTCACGCAATAGAGATGCATACGCTACCCATTTGAAATATTTATCTACCCGCCCGCATAGGGGAGTAGATTATATTTTCTATTTTTCAAGTAACCCGTCAGTTACATTTATATATATGTTAGCCTTTGCTTTAAAACCAGGAGACTATATTTTTCTATCTAAAATTTTTACCGTCACATCTTTGAGAACGCATATTGATAAGTTGCTCTGGGGTAGGAGGTGGAGATGTCACTACCACCGATACATCTGAGAAATGAGAAAACGACGCATTTGTCAAACGGGATGCACTTATCATCTAGACCAATCGTATTGGTGTCAGCAGAGAAACCTCCGATCATTTCGAGACGATAAACTGCCTCATCATCGAGGTTCCGCGTTTACGATCCGACGGTCCTCGGGATATCAAATTATCGGCTCGAAATAACGTTTTGTTTTGTCATCGTTCATCCTACGCGATTACAACTGTCGCGCGATTCTTCTGCTCGACTTCGCGCCAACGTCGTATGGTATACATATATTGAATTTACGCACCATTTCGGCCCTACGGGAAATGATGTAAACGAAATTTCCCAGCGGCGTAACTTTTCATAAATCTCCGATCATATCCATTTCAGCCAAAATCTTCCATTAAAAAAATACATAATAAACATTATCCTTTTTTTCCATTTCCCTTTTATTTACGAGATAATAAAAACGAAACAGTTTTCTTCCAAAGTGTTATACAATTTCAGTCATTTTCTTTATTTACTCGATAGTTAGGATTACTACTTAACATTTAACAAAAAAAGAGGGTACACAGAAGAGCACGAACATACGTTTGCTGTATCAATTAACTGGTCTAGAAAGATTAAATTCTATACATAAATATGTAGGATGAAATGCTTTTCTCCACGTCATTTGTTATCTTTTCTTATGTATCCCAATAGATGCAATACGAATCAACAACAAATCATCGAACGATCATTCTTCGCGTTGTTATCTCAAACAAACGTATTTCGACTCTACGCACACAACCAAACGCGCACGGTTCAATCTCGCGTTATTCGTTCTCCGCGCTGTTGACCTTTTGGGTAATCCTGCGCTCTGCTGAAGCGAGATTGAAAAGACCGGCTTCGATCTCGAAGTAACGGAAATTTCTAGATTTTCGTCTGTCG